TGATCTTCTGGGTGATGGAATATTCACAGTGGATGGAGTGAAGTGGAAACATCAGAGGAAGGCAGCAAGCTACCAATTCTCCACCAGGTTATTGAAAGACTTCAGCAGTTCAGTGTTTAGAACCAACGCAAGAAAGCTTGCAGGGATAGTCTCAGAAGCTGCAATTTCAAACAACACTGTTGAGCTGCAAGTAAGAAATTAAGTGAAATTGATGGGTACCTAAGTGAGATACTTAACTCTACCCCAAAAGCTAATTGTTGGGGGGTGAAAGAACCAACCCACTTGAATATCCTATTGGGCATCTCATGCTACTTGGTATAAAATTTAATATCCTATACTACTAATTCTCTGTTAAAAATAAAAGTTGAAGAACCCAAGGTGGAGAGTGCTAACCTCCACTAGTGTGGATATTAACATTCCCTTTTCTATATGCAAATTATAATATAGTGTTTTTGTTTCCAACCACTGAAACAAGAGAGGCTCAAGTCTTACCTTGCTGGTCGTTGGCATGTAGGGCTTATTCATGAAGTCAGCGTTGGATTCAGTATTTAAGGTTGTGCTTGGTGTAGAACTAGATACCATGTGTGGAACCTATGAAGAAGGTACCCGATTCTCCAATGCTTTTGATGAAGCAAGCACAGCTACCTTTTATAGATACGTTGACGTTTTTTGGAAGATCAAGCGACATCTGAACATTGGATCAGAAGCAGTACTTAGAAACAACGCAAGAGTAGTAGACCAATTTGTGTATAAAGTAATCAGAACCAAAATTCAGCAAGTCCAAAAACAACAAGATGATTCTCCTGTGAGTACAACTTTTCCTTTAACTAGAATGCTAGTTGCATTGTTTCTTTCTTTAGCACCACTACAATGGAAATTTTCAAACATTATTTGAATACGACATGTGTGTACATATATATATGTAGGAAATTTTCAAACATTATGAGGTTTGAAGGAATGAATATAATCACCGAAGAGCCTCAGCAATGGACCTTGTTCTAGAATGAATATAATCACCGAATATAATCACCGAAGTAAGCAGCATGGACCTGTCCCAGAATTTGCCGTTCATGTTGCACACTTGTTGTTACATTTTTTTGGTAATTACATTCCTTCCATGGGACCTTGTTCTGCTTTTCCCTGCATATGGTGTATCATGTCATTTTTTTCCAGTTTGAATGTATAAACATATTGTTACAATGTGGCAAGCGTCCATATGAGTGTTTAGAATTCCTAATTCCTAAAACATTCCTTAAGGTTCTGCCAGAGTGAACATTTCATTTAATAGCAGAAAATATGTTTAACAGGTGGTGAATGGTGATATGTTGTCAAGGTTTATAGAACTAAAAGAGACAGATCCAAAATATCTTAAAGACATAATCCTGAGTTTCATCATAGCTGGGAAAGATACAACAGGAAGCACTCTTTCCTGGTTTGTTTATCTGCTCTGCAAGCATCCCCATATACAGGAAAAGATTGCACAAGAAATCTTGGAGGCAACAAAAGTGCGAGGTGATGTAACCGCTGAAAAACTTGCAGCTAGTTTAACTGAAGATGCCCTTGAAAAAATGCAGTATCTGCACGCAGCTCTAACTGAAACGTTGAGGCTCTACCCAGCAGTTCCAGTAGTAAGTTACAATCCAGGCATCAACCTTGTAATGAGTTTCAATCTTATCCTTTGACGACAAATATGGACATACATATTTAAAGGACATGACATAAATACCAATAACTATGCAGCTGAAGAGAGAATAACACAATAGAGTCGGATGTATATGACTCAGTTTAATTTGTCTGTGTCAATTGGAAGAACAAAGATGTACCTATTATATATGATTTGTGTGACTGACATTTTTCTCTCAATGAAATTTTCGTGTTTCATAGTTGTTTGATGAGATTTATGTTTCTGTTAAAGGACGGTAAGTATTGCCTCTCGGATGACATATTGCCAGATGGATTTACTGTGAGGAAAGGTGATGTAATGGCATACAGCCCTTATGCCATGGGAAGGATGAAGTACTTATGGGGTGATGATGCTGAGTTATTTAAGCCAGAGAGATGGCTTGATCATAATGGAATTTTCCAGCATGAGAGCTCTTTCAAGTTCACTGCCTTCCAGGTAAGAAAAAAGGTCTGGATGGAGAAAAATATACTCATTCCAGTCCTTTCTATAAGTATGTGTTAAGTCCTTTACTTGGAATAAGAAAAGTAGTTAAAATTAGTCAAGTATCAAAAACTTCTATAATTTTCTAGAATTACCCTTAAGGAAGTTGAAAAACAAAACTTTTTCTCACCATAAGGATATTGTTAGAGTTGCTTTTTTTCTTTTGGGGGGTAAATGAGTCATAAGTATTTAAATTTCGTAAAAGGTTTTTGTATTAAGGACTGATAGGAGGGGTCTTACAAATAAGATTGGAGGAAGTAGCAGTTTCTGTTTGTCACAAAAGTTTCCATGAGTATTTATGAGATTAAAAGTTGTGGGTCTCGTAAGAGCTTGAGACATAGTTGTTGTTGGTGAGATGAACAGGCAGGACCAAGAATTTGCCTGGGAAAGGAGTTTGCATACAGACAGATGAAGATATTTGCTGCAGTTCTTTTGGGTTGCTTCAAATTGAAACTGGCAGATGAAAAGCGATCAGCAAGACACAGAAGCATGCTTACTCTACAAATTGATGGTGGTCTTCATGTCCTTGCTTCTCAGAGATCAAAGCTTTGATCTCTCTCTCTCTCTCTATCCTCAGTTTCTTTGGCTTTGCTACCAGCGGTTTAAAAACAGATATTCGTGAAGCATATTCTTATTTAAATAAATTCCACATAAACTCTTCTTAAAAGTTCTTCATATCATACACTGGTATTGATATTGAAAGGTTCCTTTGGGATCGTCAAAGGTAATCCCAAATAATTGGGTAAAAATCTAGATATGCATTATTTGTTATAACTTTATTGTCATAATGATAATTGTACCTTCGGTTTTAAATATAAGAACTACTTTGGAGTATAATATTTATAACACAAATTACATTACAAACGATTTCTTATATTTAGAATCGGTGGAGGTGGTATATTTTATCCCAGGACTTTGGGAAGGAATAATGGATGAGAAGTCATGTATGCGCCACTGTGAAATACTCCTCCGGTCCTAATTATAAGACCCAATTGACTTATTTGAGGAGATTAAGGAAGTAAGTTAAGTTGGTTATTTATAATAAATAAGTGTTGTCATTCCTAAAATATCCTTGCTAATTAAGTATATTGGCTAAAACTATCATTATTAGAAGGATTATCTTGGAAAAAAAATGCATAAATATAAGAGACAAAATGGATTGGGGTCTTATAATTAGGACCAAATAAAAAGTCAAATGGGGTCTTATAATAAGGACCGGAGGAGTAGATTCTTTTGTGTTTACGGTATTAAAAATAATTTCAAGTTATAGTATTCAATTAATATTCATCAAGTGGGAGGATGAATCTCTGCTTAATAAATAAGACGACGGTTCAGTTATTGTTTTAATGCAACTTACAATCATCCTATCAATCTCTAACTTGATTGTGACAGAAATGTAAGGAATGAAAATTGTTTTTGGGTGAACGATTTTCTACAGTATAATACTACCTTTTGTCCGTAATATAGGACATCATTTGATTTTTATTTTGATTCTAAATATATGACCTCAATCTATTTTGTCTCTGATATTTATGTTTTTTTTCTTAAGATAGTCCTTCTAACAATGTTAGTTTTAGCCAATACATTTGATTAGCAAAGATATTTTAGAAAAACAACACTTATGACAAATAACTAATTTAACTTCTTTCCTTAATCTCTTCAAATTAGTCAACTAGTTTTTATAATTAGGACTGGAGGTAGTATTTAGGTAAATTCTTCGATCATTTTCCGTACCTTTGTTTTTATTGTTTACAATGTAAAAGCCTATTAATTTATTGTAGGGTTAATATAATTTTTGGATCTTTCAATTTATACTTATTTGAGTTTTGATCTCTTAAATTTTAAATTATAAGTTTTAGTTTTTTAAATTTATTTCTATTTAAAATATCAATCTTTATAATTTAATAAAAATTTGGATTATTTTATTTCTTGAAGGATTAAAAATAGACTAAAACTAAAGTAAAGACAAATCCAAGCACTCAAAATTCTATTTATTATATAATTGCCAGTAAAAAACTTAATTTAGTGTCCCATGTGCGTAGCCCAGAAAGTGCGGACCTGTATGCTCTGTTGAATTTAAACCAGTCAATAGTTGTGATCGCGACACGTCCCCGAATCTGGCTCGCCGGGCCATTGACCGTTGTCGTATCCCTCACAATCTTTTCCTTGTCTCCACTTGTCCTTCTCTTCACTCCCTCCGTACTATCTCTACCATCCATCGGATCAATTTCCAACCATCGAGATTTGATATACTATAACAATATTAGGATAACAGTATTGAATCATAAAAATAAATTGAAAATTTTTAAACTTTAATATGAGTAGATTTTTATTAAAATATCATCTTTTGCCTTCTTATCCTCCGGTTATATTAAAGAACCTTGGAGATTACAATATTTACAATATCTCAACTACAGAATTTAATATTCCCGTTAATCTCCTGCAATATAGGTCGATGTGATTTAATAGTCACAGTTCACACGCCACGTGCTCAATTAATCAGTTTAGTATTTGCATGTGCATGTTTGAGCTGACTCGGTGATATCCTTTAACCTTGGTTGATGTAGGTTGCTCCATCTCATAATCCATTTCGTCAACTATAATTTTCAGAATACATCAACTAGTTCATGCCAATGGATTTACTTGAGGTTGTTAACCTTTAGTTTACGATGAAACTGTTTTTTTTTTTTTGGGGGGGGGGGGTTAGATTTGCACGTTTGATTTGGTTGTTAGGTGTCAAAGATACCTTGACGGTCACAACATGGTCCCATGGGGATTCCAAATAATGCTACTGAAATATGAAGTTGTAACCTGGTCTCCGTACGTAGCTTCGTAGTCTCATTTCTGTGATGGATTATCTCTTTGGTATGAGCCCTCTGGTTTTAGCATTGGCGACTCTGTGTTTCGCTGCTGTTGCAATCAAAATCCATGGCAGAACTGACAAGAGAAGAAGATACCACCCAGTTGCTGGCACTGTGTTGGACCATCTGTTCAACTATCACACGCTGCTGGATTTCATCACTGAGCTCGCAAGGCAGAGGAAAACTTACAGGATGCTTAGCTTCATGAGGGCTGAGGTTTACACTGCAGATCCAGCTAATATTGAGCACTTTCTCTCTGGAAACTTTGCAAACTACGGCAAGGTATTTCATTAATCTCTTGAATTAAATGATCTATCTTTCTCTTCTGCTATTCTAGGAGCTCAAATATTGTGTGGTCAAAACTCAAGGTTGAGTTAGATATTGAAAAATTGCTTTCTGTCAGGTTAAGTTGTAAGAAGTTGGTCCAGATATGTGCACGGATATGAAGAATTGCTTTGTGGTTTGCTATAAATCCTTGAAAGTTGAAGAACATCTTTCATGATATGCACATGCCTCATTGCAACCAAATAGCAAACACCTAAATAACTTTAGGACATCTAAGCAATCTTACGGTATCTCGATTGAGATATAATAGAAAGATGGACCAGTGTTATCAAAATGAATGTCTATAAATAAACGGCTTCGTCCTGTTATTGCAGGGTTGGTATCACCATAGTGTTTTGAGCGATCTTCTGGGTGATGGTATATTCACAGTGGATGGAGTGAAGTGGAAACATCAGAGGAAGGCAGCAAGCTACCAATTCTCCACCAGGTTATTGAAAGACTTCAGCAGTTCAGTGTTTAGAACCAACGCAATAAAGCTTGTAGGGATAGTCTCAAAAGCTGCAATCTCAAACAACACTGTTGAGCTGCAAGTAAGAAATTAAGTGAAGTTGATGGGCACTTAAGTGAGATATGTAACCCTATCCACTAATTGTTTGGGGTGGAAGAACCAACCCATCTTATTGATCATCTCATACTACTCTGTAGAACTTAATATCCTATACTACTAATTTTTCATTAAAAATAAAAGTTGAACCCAAGGTGGGGAGTGCTAACCAAGGCAAAAAAAGGGGACCAAATAAGCAGGTTCAAATGGAAAACTAGCCAACAGTCTAGGTTGATTTGGTTGTTGAACCGGGTAGGAATTGAACCATAAAGATCAAAATTCTTAATATTGTTATACTTAGTTATTGTTATAATCAAATTATTATTATATTTTTTTGTATTTTTTTAGTAGTGATTATTAATATTATTATATTTTGTTATTTTTTATTAAATTATATTATTTTAATATGACCAGTTTGACCCAAAGTTGATTTTAGTCCAACCAACTAACCCTTGAACCACTACCTTAACCGATTTAATGTTCAATCCGGTTTTTCATGCCTTGGTCCTAACTTCCATCACTTGTGTGGAGATTAGTACTCCCTTTCCTATATGCAGATTATAATATACTGTTTTTGGTTCCAACTACTGAAACAAGAGAGGCTTCAAATCTTACCTTGCTGGTCGTTGGCATGCAGGATTTGTTCATGAAGTCAGCTTTAGATTCAGTATTTAAGGTTGTGCTTGGTGTAGAACTAGACACCATGTGTGGAACCTATGAAGAAGGTACTCGGTTCTCCAATGCTTTTGATGAAGCAAGCACAGTTACCATGTACAGGTATGTAGACGTTTTTTGGAAGATCAAGCGACACCTGAACATTGGATCAGAAGCAATACTTAAAGACAACGTAAGAGTAGTAGACCAGTTTGTGTATAAAGTAATCAGAACCAAAATTCAGCAAGTCCAAAAGCAACAAGATGATTCTCCTGTGAGTACTACTTTTCCTTTAACTAAAATGCTAGTTGCAGTGTTTCTTTCTTTAGCATCACTACAATGGAAGTTTCAAACATTATTTGAATATGGCATGGGCGTGTACGTATATACATAGGAAAATCATTAGGAGGTTCAAAGGAAGGTATATGATTACCAAAAAGTCTCAATAATAAGTGAGCAGCATGGATCTATTGTCATTTCCTACACCAGACCTTCTTTTTTTTTTTTTTTTTGAATCCTGCACCAGAATTTATCATTCCATATTGTTCACTTGTTGTGAGACTTTTTAGTGATTAAACTCCTTTATTAGGACTTTATACTGATTTTTCCTATATATGTTGTATCATGTCATGATTTTTTTTTTTTTTTTTAAGAAAAAGAACTTGAATGTATAAACATATTTGTCACTATGCGGCAAGCATTCATATGAGCGTTTATAATTGCTAATTCCTAATTCCTAAAAGATTCCTTAAGGTCCAACCACCGTAAATATTTCATTTAATGGCAGAAAATATTTTTAACAGGTGGTGAATGGTGATATGTTGTCAAGGTTTATTGAACTGAAAGAGACAGATCCAAAATACCTTAAAGACATAATCCTGAGTTTCATCATAGCTGGGAAAGATACAACAGGAAGCACTCTTTCCTGGTTTGTTTATCTGCTCTGCAAGCATCCCCATATACAGGAAAAGATTGCACAAGAAATCTTGGAGGCAACAAAAGTACGAGGTGACGTGACGGCCGAAGAACTTGCAGCTAGATTAACTGAAGATGCCCTTGAAAAAATGCAGTATCTGCACGCAACTCTGACTGAAACACTAAGGCTTTACCCAGCAATTCCACTGGTAAGTTAAAATCCAGGCATCATAATATTTTTTTGATGAGTTCCAATTTTATCCTTCGTCTACAGAATATGGACAAGTATATATAAAAGACATGACATAAATACTGATGCCATGACGCTATAAAATAGTAAAATAAATTCTCTATAATTATGCAGCTGAAGAGAGAATAACACAGTAGTGTTGGATAATGTATATATGACTCACTTTCTCTGTGTAAATTAGAAGAATTGAGATGTGTCTGTATATATGATTTGTGTGACTGACATTGTCCTGCATTGAAATGTTCATGCTTCATAGTTGTTTGATAAGATTTATGTTGTCGTTACAGGAAGGCAAGTACTGTTTCTCGGACGACATATTGCCAGATGGATTTAATGTGAGGAAAGGTGATCTCATGGTATTCTGTCCTTATGCCATGGGAAGGATGAAGTACTTATGGGGTGATGATGCTGAGTTATTTAGGCCAGAGAGATGGTTTGATCATAATGGAATTTTCCAGCAAGAGAGCTCTTTCAAGCTCACTGCCTTTCAGGTAAGACAAAAGTTTCCATGAGTATTTGTGAGATTAAAAATTGTGGGTCTCTTATAAGTGCTTGAGAAATGGTTATTGTTGGTGAGATGAACAGGCAGGACCAAGAATTTGCCTGGGAAAGGAGTTTGCATACAGACAGATGAAGATATTTGCTGCAGTTCTTTTGGGTTGCTTCAAATTGGAACTGGCAGATCAAATGCAATCAGCAAAAAACAGGAGCATGCTTACTTTACAAATTGATGGTGGTCTTCATGTCGTTGCTTCTCACAGATCAAAGCTTTGATCCTTCTGGCCTCTTAGAGATATATATCCCCTCAGTTTCTTTGGCTGCTTCATTGCTACCAACGGTTTTAAAACAGATATTCATGAAGCATATTCTTATTTAAATAAATTGCACACAAACCCTTCTTAAAAGTGCTTCGTATACTTGTGTTGATATTAAAGGGCTCCTTTGGGATCGTCAAAGGTAATCCCAAATAACTGGATAAAAATTTGGATATGCATTATTTGTTATAACTTTATTGTCATAATGATAATTATTATGTTTTATCCGAGGACTTTGGGAAGGAATAATAGACGAGAAGTCATGTATGTCCCGTTGTGAAATACATTTGTGGTTCCTTAGTGTTTACGATATTAAAAATAACTTCAAGTGTGTTAGAGATTTCTTTTAATACATCTCAGTCATTAGAAGTAACATAATAGAGTTAAAATCTAAGTAAAGGGGGCCCACTTCTTTCATGTAATAAATTAACATGTATACGGTATACTTCAGAAGCTTCATATTACTTATCATTGTTTCTTGAAGCCAGTAGTGAACTTAGAGTGCCAGAAAGGATCAAAGTGGAGACCAATAGAGGAAATGAGAGGCAATCCTCTTGACTCAGTGATTCTGATCCTCACAGCGTGAGCATTTACCAGCCCACCTTCAAGCCTGTGAAGCCTCTTGTAACCCACTGTCGTCCCTCTGATCACCAATTCACCATCCACATAGATCTCATGCCCTTTGATCCTCTGACCAAGTCCTATCGCTTCCTGAACCCTCACCACATTGAATCTCACACTCCCATTATTCTTCCCTCTTATCTCAACCCAATGCTCCTTTCTGCTTCCTTCTTCTTCAGGAGCCCAGTATGTCCACAAATGGTCACTGTCTATCATGTTTTCTGGTCCAAAACCACCTTCTTTTCCTCCTCTTTGACTGCTTACTATAAGAGTGCAGTTGTCTTCTGCTATGTTCTTCTGGAAAACTGTGGCGACTGCACTGTGAAACTGCTTCAACCTTTGGGCATCAATGTCAGATATGAGGCCGGTTGTGTTGGGAGGCACGTTGAGGAGCAATAAGCAGTTTCTACCAACTGAGTTGTAGTAAATATCAAGTAGTTCAGTTAGGCTTTTTGGTGATTCTGACTTGTGCCAAAACCATCCTGGTCGAATCGACACATCGCATTCTGCAGGAACCCAGTCCGTTCCTTTGGGATCACCTGTGTTTAGGTAGCTATACGAATATATGATCACCAAGAAATTAATCAGTGATAAATTACAATCATGAAAAATCATAGATGATAACTTTGCTTGCACGTCAAGTATGTAATAAGTTCTTGTTAGTTCCTTATCTTCAAAGTCAAATAATCTCGAAGGCATTTTGGTTTCACCGGATTTAGATGCACCAAAACTGTTCTTCTAGTAATATGCCATAACAGAGTATATGAAAAATGAAAAAAATGGAACCTAAATTTTGTGTTATATATGGTGATGAACAAGATTAATGCTTGGCTTGGAAGATGAACTTACCGGGTGATGTCAGGATTTCCAATGGAAACAGAAGTTCGGTTGATGAGAGACCAACACGTGTCTGATGCATAGCCTTGTTCATCTCCCACCCACCTCACATCTGGACCTGCATCTGAAAATATGTTTATGGATTTCTGCAACTCTTTCACCATTGAGAACCATTCTGTGAAGTAGTACGACACATTTTGCGCCTTTGGATCCTTGGCTCCATCAAACCATATCTCCCTTACTTCTCCATAGCTGCATATTATCAAACACCAATCATTCATATTTCATATTTGAAACCTTTCCAGAATACATCAGTTGATCTTCACAGAAACAGATAATTAAAGGAACTCACTTATTGAGCAGTTCCTGAAGCTGAGCTAAATAATATTCATTGTAAGGTATATCATGTCCATATCTGGAGTCATGTCTATCCCACGGAGAAAGATAAAGCCCTGCGTCTATTCCTTTTGCTGAAGCTTCATTAACAAACTCTCTCACAACATCTCCTTTGCCATTTTTCCAGGGGCTTCCGATCACAGAATGCTCAGTGTAGTTTGAAGGCCACAGGCAAAACCCGTCATGGTGTTTGGCTGTCAGGATCATCAAGGAAACTCCGGCCTCTGCCGCGACCGTCGCCCACTGGCCGGCGTTGAGGCCTGAAGGGTTGAAGATTTGTGGGCTTTCATCGCCGTCTCCCCGTTCTCTGTCCGTGAAGGTGTTCACACCGAAGTGGATAAACATGATGATCTCTCTTTGTTGCCATTTTAACTGAGAATATGATGGGAGAGGCAGAATCGGCAATGGTGGAGTTGGTAGAGCTTGCTCATGCACAGAAATGGCCGACTTGAAGAGATGAACAAGTGAGAGAAGAAGAGAGAAGAACAATAATCTTCCCATGATGATGGACTTGGTTTTTCTTCGTCGTCACCTCTTTATTATTAGTAGTTATGCGAAGGAGCTAAAATAGGTAGAAAATAGGTATGAAGTGATAAGTAAGGTAACATCATATTATAGGAAAATCATGTTTTTATCCTTATAGTTTTGATTAATTTTTAATATGAATTTCTGCTGAAGTCTTTATAATTTACAAATTTTCTGATTTAATTCTTATTATTAAAGTTCTAACAATATTTTTGTTAATTTTTTATTGATTTAACCAATTATATAATTTTTTTATATACTATATATATATATATATATATATAGTATACACACACTAATGAAAAAGATAATCACATATTAATAAAATTTTGACAAAAATCCACCAAAATAAAACATAAGAGACTTTTTTTTGGGTCCAAAAAAAAACATAAGAGACTTACTTATGGAATCTAAAATTATGAGGATTAAATTAAAAATCAATTAAATTATAGGGACAATTTTTTTTTTTAAATTTTAACTTGTTAGGTTCATATGTGAAATGAATCATGACATTTCTTTATTAAAAAAAAAGTTAATCATGAAATTTTAAAGCTAGATTCTGTGAGTGCATTTGTCATAAAATCAAATGAATGTATGATTTTGATGCATGGATGGTTTCATGAACATTTGATGTCCATTAAATGGTTTCTATCTTTTGCATGTATTTATGGATGGAAAATGACACTTGAGGGTTTAGGGAAGGCAAATAATGACGCTCAAGGACCTTCTTTTTTTAAAAGGAAACGAAGGAAATTAAATTTTTAAAACAGCTCTAAAGAATTAATAAGGCCTTCGATTAAAAGACTAATATATACTACGAAACAAAATACCATCACCCGAGGGAAACATGTTGATTTTAAAAAATCAAAAGTTTTAAGTGTAACTGCGAAAAAAAAAAAAAGGAGGAAGTTTGGTACTCCTTCCATTTTTTAATTTATGTCTTTTTTAAGAAAAACTGTTTCGTTTTATGTCTCTTTTCATGAGCTCAAAGCAGCATTTATTAATATTTTTCTATTACACCTTCTTCATACAAGTAATGAATGTAAAAATGTTTTTGTTGGCAAAAAAATGTCAAAATATTTTAACACATTGAATTAAGAGAAAATTTAATATTATGAACATTTTAATATATTAATAATTGCATTTCTTAATATGTGTGTAAAAATCTTAAAAATGAACTCACATATATTTTGATATAAAGAGTAAAAAATAACCGACTTTCCTTATTTACAGTTGATGTATCATTCAAAATTTCAAACATCTGAATTTCGGAGCTCAAATAACACAAAAATATCAAAAGAAATAAGGTTTCTAATAATCTAACATTAAGGTTCCTATATTTACAATTAAGCTTTTGATATTTGCAATTGAGTTATTGATTTTTTAAAATAGTTATATGCTTCTAATTGAGTGGAGACATTTTGATTTATTTATCTTTATCAAACAAGAACCTTAGCTCTTAAGTATAATTTTTAAAATTAATTTTTTTTTTTTGGTTGAGGGATGGCTTCGAAAAGCCAAAGCCATATTGAATGCCATAATGTTGGTTTTTCCCCCTTAAAAAAAATACATTATGGATGACAAGAGTGTGTGGGTCCCAACTCCCAATGTGAATTGAAGAAGGTTTGTGAAGGAAAGATTTGGATTGGGAAGAATGGAAGGTAAGAGAAGGGAAGGTGTTTTATTATTTTATATTCAAATCAAAAGAAGACCATCATTGATTCTCCCGCTTAAGCCGAAAATGTGTTTGCCTCACCACCCCACATTTTCAGTGAGTTTTTGTCTTCATTTGTGTGTTGCGAATATGGGACCATTAGTTGGATTAATCTCTTAACAAATTATGATTAATATTTAAGTAATTAAACAGATATGGAGGCTCCATTTAACACGACGTCCACTTTATTAGTGTTATTTTCATAATATTTGACTCTATAAGTGATTGTAAAGTGCGGTTCCATACAATTCTAAGCTTCTTCTTCTTTTCTTTTTTTTTTTTATTTTTTTTATTTTGAGCTCAGAATACTTCTAAGTCACTTTAGAATTGAAACTAATTAATTCTTGTTGGGTCAAAAGTGTTAGAGTTAAAACCCTCCAAACAGGTACGCTTTCTGAAATTTAAACTTGTATTTTTTTCCTCTATAGAGTAATCTGCTTATCATCTCAGCTAACAGGTTGTTAGTATTTTGAGTTTTTAGTTGCCATCAACTAGTGCTCCAAGGTGAAACTTGGCATTTTGTTCCCTATAATTAATAACGCCTAACTCATGGCCAGTTGGCATTTTATCCCAATAATTGATGTGACTCTCGTTTTACAAAATAATGAGAAAGAAGAAAATTATCAGTGAGTCTAAATAACAAGTCAACAATTTGTCATTTACTATTTTAAAACTTGTTATTATAAACTATTTATTATCATTAGAATTTTTTTAGTAATTATGTTTCTTACTTAGGACTTCATAACAATTCTCTAAGTAACCAAGCACCAATGGCCTTATAACCTAGCGACATAAATGCTTAATAAATCCTTATTTTAATATATTATTTAATATTTTTTCGAGATTTTTATCAATTAAAATGGGATAATTTGTATTTATTATGGGCATTTTGAATTTAAGATTGATTGCATAAAAATGGAGTTAAAAAGAAAAATTTTATCATATTTTTAGATTTGCTCTTAAATGATTGATTTTGGGATTTTGTGATATTATATGATCTCAATTTAGCTTGCAAGTTTTGGAAAAGAAAAAAAAAAGAAAATTAGAAGAGTTGAAAGAAAGAAAAAGAAAAATACAATAAAATAAAATAAAATAAAAAAAGAGGCACGCCGTTTCGGTTTTAAAAGCATTAGGTTATATTATATTATATATGGATTGAATCGTGCAGGTAGGGCTGTGCAAAAACCCGGTGGTCCGGTATGGTCCGGTCCAACCCGAACAAACCCGGTCCAGTCCGGTCCAAAAAAAATTGGCCTGAAACAAGACTAGACCAGACTGGACCGAACTGGTCTCATCGGGCTGGACTGGACTAGGGACTGACCCCTCAGACCAGTTGGTCCAGTCCAGTCTAGCCCGATTTTTTGAAATTATTATTTATATAATTTTAATTTGATTTAATTTTTCTATATAAATTTTTTATCTATTCAAATAATTAAGATTTATCTATTAACTTTCAAAGTAATGAGCATGCATATATATTTTCTACAATTTAAGATCTATATTGATGAGAATTAATTAATAAAACATGACTTCATTGGGAAATTGAAAGGGAATGATCAAATTTGATAAATTTTGAATTAAAATATGTGTAAAATTTTATATAGTAAGTTACAATCTTGCCTCCTATTGAAGAAAAAAAAATTTTAAAAAAAATTAAAATTAGCTCTGGACTGCCTGGACTGGTCCAGGCAGTCCAGAGGACCAAGTCCAGTCCAACCCGACCTCGGGTTGGCACTGGACTGGACCAGACCTCGGGCTGTTTTTTTCAGCCCGAGGTCTTTACTAGACCAGACTTCGGGTTAATAACAAACCCGGTCCAGTCTAGTCCATGCACACCCCTACGTGCAGGGAGGCGGCAGCAACCATAAGCCGCCACCTCCGTCGCAGACCCATATCATATTCTATATGGATTCATCCCAGTCATCATGTTTTTCCACTCTTATTCATTCACTTTTTTTTTTCCCCCCTCCATCAACCATAAGCCGCCACCCTGTCGTAGACCCATATCATCCGCAACCCCATCTTCCATGTCCACCAACATCATCATTTCCGATGGCTGATGAATTTTTGGGACGTGTTGTGACTGGGTTCAGAGCTATGAGAAGTTGAGTTTATTGTGTTTTTTGGAACTAAATTCAATGGCTTGAGTTTTGAAGCTACAAAAGAAAGTTTAATCCTACGCCTTAGTTTAGACTTTTTTATTAATGATTTTTGGTATGAAATTTGTTATATTTGGTTTAAAACTAACAATTGCTAGTTGTAATTCTTGTTTTGGATTGGAATTGTTGAGATTTAGTTGGTATTTATAAGTTTGAGTACTTAGTTTATGCATATATTTATGTTTATACCTTTATTAATTCATTGTTAGAATGATTTTTATAGAAGTTGTATAGAGATTATGCTTGAAGTGAATTTAACAAGTAATTAATGTTCTAGTTGAGTATTAATTTAAAAGGAATAACTTCTCTAAACTAATCCTAATCATTTGAGTTACTCCCATATAATTAAGCAAGCTAGGATAATCATTAATTCATTTTCAAAGAGCACTCTCCTCATTTCTTAAAATTCAAATTTGCTTTTTTTCATTCTCTCTTTATTAAAAATATAAAAAAAGTATTTTATATTTATTTATTTATTTCATAATCAACTTTATAAAAAGAAAAAGGGAAAATGGCAATAAAAGACCTCCGAATTACCAAAATGGCAAACTACACACTTGAATAAATTAAATTGTTTGGAGAGACCAGGTCTTAAATTGCAATTATGAAATGAAACCCGAAAGTCTAAAATACCCTTCTTCTCGTTCTTTCATCACCCCATCTCTTTCTCTTTCTTACTTATCTTCCTCTTCCTCTCTCTTTCTCTGTCTTCATCCTTCTCTTCCTCTTCTTCTTCCTCTGGTTCTCTTCGTCCTTTTATTCCTCTCCCTCCCAGCACCAACCATCTAGCCGCCTATGTATTTATTAATGGGATTGAGGTTGTAGCCATATCCACTGATCTTTATTGCAAAAAATTTGATGACCCATTGTTAACACTGGTTAGTAAGAGTAATTGGATTCAAGTTAATAGCAATTGTGCCCTAGAGATGGTATACAGAATCAATGTTGAAGAGGATGAGATTCCAGCTACCCAAGGCATGATTGGTATGCTTTATGATTGGCATGGCGTCATCTTGGTTAGTTACAGTGTGGGTCATTGGCTGATATGGTGGAAGAGAATGAGACGCGCAGTTGATAATGAAAGATGTTAATTGGAGAAAGTTGTGGTTAGTTTGAGATGCACTTGTCACTGAGTTTTGCAAAAACTGGTTACTGTCAAAGCACCTCTGGTTTTTTGTTATTTGGCTTACTGTTATTGTGATTTGGCTTGATAGTGATGTAACTGTGGACTTGCTACTATGATGGCAGTAACATGAAGTCATGATCTAGAAATATTGGCTTTTTGTTTATGGAGTGAACAATGTTAACATTCTGTATTTATCAGTTCTAAATGGTAACAATTTAGATCTTTTTAATGTTCTGAAGTTAATAAGAAACTCAGTCATAAACTTATAATTTTGCCTACCAAACTTATTATTTGGCTTGCCACTCTTGTCATTTGGCTTACTACTTTTATCATTTAGTAGTGAAATGTGGAAATAATGAACACTTTCCATAAAACTTAATTGAATGAGAAACCTAATCACAAAAATATTATTTCACTTACCACTCTTGCCATTTCACTTAGTGTTCTTGTCATGTGATAGTAAAATGTGAAAATAATAGCAACTTTTTATGAAACTTAATTTCATCATAAACCTAGTCACATGATTGTAATTTTGCTTACCAAATTTGTCATTTGGCTTACTATTTTTGTCGTTTGACAGTGAAATGTGAAAATATTGATAACTTTTCATAAAACTTAATTTTATAAGAAATTCAATCACAAAATTGTCATTTTGCTTACCACTCTTGTTATTTGATAGTGAAATGTGAAAATAATAACAACTTTTCATGAAACTTAATTTCATCAGAAATCCAGTTATAGGCTTGTGATTTTACTCACCATTCTTGTTATTTGGTAGTGAAATATTTTCATTATTGACCATATTAAATACCAAACTTTCATCTTCTCATTTACACCCACACAAATACTTACTTTTTTAACAACTTATCCTTTTTAAATAACAACTCTTTAATTACAATTAACAACTATTCAATTCAATTTAATGTTTATCAAATCCTTTATCATTATTTGTCGAACTAATATTGTCATCTCCCAAATTAATCCTGTCATTTCCTTCCCAGCCGAAAATCATTTGCATAAGTTATTTAACAGAACAACATATATATTTCACTGCAAAAAACTCTTAACTGGTCAATTACAATTGGGTAAGACCCAAAAAAAAAAAACAGAAGAAAGAAACCAGACTTAGAAGATGATGTTTTGATATTAGTTGGTGGTTTTCTTTCCCATTGTCATTGTTGTTATCTAATACTTGGCCATTGTCATCGCTAACATGGGCTTCTTCACCAATGCTTATGATCTCTTTAGCATCGCCAACGTTACTAGGTTGTTGGGGCTTGCAGATATGCATTTATGAAAACTTCTTATGGCATCGACATGTTGGGGAGAAGTGTAAAGATCTTGATTATTATTTGGGGTGTAATGAAGAGGAAGAAGTGTTGCAAGAAGAAAAGAGAATGTGGGAATAAATAAATAGAGCACTATGTTTGTGGATAGCAGAGGAAAGAGAAGCACGAAGAGAGGGAAAGGAAGAAAAAGAGAAGAAGGAAAGAGAAGGACATAGGATGACAAAAGAAAGAGGAAAAGAAGGGGGCATTTTGGTATTTTCTCAAATATTTCATAATTGCAATCTAAGACCTAATCTTCTAAGCAATTTAATTTATTCAAGTGTGTATTTTGCCATTTTGCTAATTCGGGGGTCTTTTATTGCCCATTTTTTCAAAGAAAAATTCCTTTTCAAACCCCTCCTTTTTAATGCTTTTGTCACTTAGTTAACTTAGGAATTAATAAAAGGTTTCTCAACAAACATGCCCCTAGTTGTGCTTTACTTCATAATTTAGTTTTATTTTTTATTTCAGACTAAAATGGTTCAAATCAACGCTTTATCTTACAAGTGAGAGGTTACGAGTTCAATTCTACTTGTAGTGTCATGTTGATAGTCAATCTATTTGGCATAGCGTTTTGGAGAGGAAAAGTAACTTACAAGTGTAATAAGTCTGTTTACAAATTTGGGAGCTGTTTATTATAACTTTTGGCTAATCTGACTTATGAGTCAAAAACTGCTTTTTTAGGCACGATTACAAAAACACCTAAAACTTACTTATGACCTGTACAAAAATAGCTTTTTGAAATTAAAAGACATTTTTACCCTTATGTATATGTTGTTCTTATGCTTTTCTTTATATATTTTTTGTACTTTTCAATAAGTTTTTAGTTATTTGTTTTAATATTCTAAAAACAATTTTTAACAGTTGTTATAATATTTTTAATTTTTAATATTATTTTTTATTTTATATTTACATAAATTATACAGAGTATGTCATCTAGTTAATTATATAATATTATTTGGTTCAAAAATTTTCACATTAATATGATTTCTAATTTAAATATATTTTATTAATTAAATATAAATTTTTTCATATTATAATAATTTAAAATTATTATATTTTGTAAATTCATATTTTTAATCATTTCTCATTATTTAATAAAAGTCATACCCATTTTGGTTATTCTGTAAACTAAACCTACTTATTCAATTATAATCCAAATAACTTTTTCATTTTACAAACTAATTTTTATAAAAGTCAATCAAAACACAAATCATACTATCATATTTAATTTTTACCAAATATCATTTTTTAAAAAATCAGATTAAAAATAAGTTATTTTTTTACTACTAATATGAACGGACCCAGTAATTGTTCTTTTTAAGTCAATTATGACCTTGTAGCTTAGTATTTTAAATGTTTTGTTATAGGTGGAAGGTGATGAGTTTGATTTTCGCATTTCATCGCTGCCTACACCCTTCCACCTTCCGATAGTAGCTGACTCAGCTACTACTTCATGGTTATTAATCATCATAGCACAGGTGATTGGAATCTAGTAAGACGCTACCTGTAGAATATATACGTCTGTTCGTGCTGTGCAAATTAAATTTCTAACTTGTGCGCTACATTCATGTCTCAAGTGTCACCTAAGCCACGCCTAATGTCACTACAGAGTAGAGAGATCTTGTATTAAATTTTATATTTGACAAACGGAAGAAATGTTTTTTCTTTTTGGTCAAAAAAACGGAGGGAATGTTTGCTCGCCGGAAACAGCTGTGATATTAAAATATGGATATTAGGATGTAATGATATAGCCAAAAAAGTTGAAAACACCGTGATCATTGCGTTAAATTTTTGTTATCACAGACTGAGAGCTGCGTGGAGAGTAGAGGCTTTGGGAAAAACACGAAGACGAACTCTATCAGCCAGTCAAAGGTCAGGAAAGTTAGTTTGGCACAACATGCGACATATCATGCTCTGCTATATATGTTATTTTCCTGCAGAAAATTAAAGAAGAAGAAGAAGAGCAGGATGGACGTTGGTGTAAATCCATTTCCAATAACTTTTGCAGTTCACTTTCTGGGTATTACTGCCATTGCTATGGTCTTGGTTTGGACCATTCACTATCTTGGTGGCTTAGCTTGGAACTCTCCGGACAAGAGCCTCCTCTTCAACGTAACTTGTTTCAATATTTCTCTTAACTCTTCCCATTTTTCTACATTTGTACTTCAATGTTTTTCTATGTCTAACTCGCGTTTGATTCATACTTACAGGTCCATCCTGTTCTTATGCTAATTGGCTTAGTTGTTATTGGAGGCGAAGGTAATCCAACACATATTTTAGTGCCCTGGCTTAGTTGTTATGCAAATTGGCTTAATAAATCACTGGTTTTTGTTTCCCTGTTTTGTGTTGAACAAAATGCAGCTATCATAAGTTACAAATCATTTCCACTGGAGAAAGAAGTGAAGAAAGTGATACACCTTGTTCTTCATGCCATTGCATTGGTACTTGGAATAGTGGGAATTTATGCTGTGTTCTTGTTTCATAATGAGAAACACATTGCTAATCTCTACAGCTTCCATTCCTGGATCGGAATTGCTGCTATTGTTCTTTATGGCGTTCAGGTAATAAACCTATTCCCTTTCTTCTCTTCTACAGGTAGCTGGTGAGATTGAAAGTAACATAAGCATTCTTGGAAAACTCTGCAAATTTTGGTGAACCAATTAAGAACAGATAGTAATATAGATATGTACATTATTGCAGTGGATATATGGGTTTGTGATGTTTATGTACCCCGGAGGGGACCCAGCTCTGAGGAGAGTGTCACTTCCGTGGCACATTTTGTTTGGGCTGCTGGTGTACATGATGGTTGTTGCAGCTGCGATTCTGGGGTTTCTGGAGAAGATGACATTCCTTGAGGAGAGTGGATTGGCCAAATTTGGATCAGAGGCTTACCTCGTAAACTTCACTTCGGTTGTTACTGTCTTGTTTGCTGCTTTGGTTGTCTTCTGTGCTATCACTAAGCCTCCCGCTCCTGCATTTGACGACTATGCTCCTATTTAGCATTGTTTCACCTAATGGTCTCTGTTTAAGTAAAATTCTTGTTTTAAGTAGGTAGTGCTTATTTCTAATCTGGGACATGGAAACTATTTTATGAGAGAAATAGGAATTGAATGAGCAAAGATTAGAGGAGACTGTAGTTTTTTTTTTTTAATATATATAAAAATTAATATCTTAAAATATTGAGACACATTTGGTTGGATCAACTAACATTCCCACCCGGGTTTTGTTTTGATACGCTGTACCGTTGTGCTTTATATCATTCTTAATGCATATAAATGATATAATTGATTGGGCCTTCTAGCTCAATGCCTCCTTAGTTTCTTTTCTAAATGCGGGGTTGCCAATAAGAACTAATTTAATTATAGGAAATTGACTCATAACTTATAAGAATTGGTGATTGATTTGTATTTATCTTTGTAAGTACTTATTGAGTCCGGAAGTATGTTTTAGTTTTGGTGAACTAATAACCCAACTCATGTAAACTTGTTGTTACAACAAAAAATATGGGACTGACCAACAAGTGTTGGTCCAAGTGGAAGGGACTTGGACTCCTTAAACATCATGTCCTGGGTTCGATCCTTGGGGCGGTGTGTATGGAAAAAACATTGTTGGAAGGGATTTCCGCTACGGCGCCTGACAGTACCCCGAGAGATTAGTCTCTTACCGTTCGGGTGGGAGGATACTCTGGGCAACAAAAAAAAATATATGGGACTGAGTTTAGGTATGTACATGAATAAGATAAATATGAACTTTTCTCGTTAATTAAAGGATGATAATATTTTATTTATAATTATCTGATATATTTATAAATTGTGGCTTACTTCATAATTCGTACCACATATGATATATGAAAAAACATTTTTTTGACCAAATATATGAAAAAACATTTAACTATATATATATATATTAACAGTTTAATTATTTAGTGAAAAGCACGAGTCACGTGGCTACCATCAGCCTAGCAGGTGATGACTCGTGTCCCCATGCCTCATTTGGAAAGTTAGAATGTTAGATGGAAATCTCCCATAGGTAAAAGGGAAAACCATTGGGATAGGCCCAGATTCGTTTCACGAGGGGACGGATTGACTGAAATGCCCCTTTTCCGGCTAGAAAATAATTGACGCATTGTTGAAAAACATGGACATTTGATGAGGAGGCGAGTTTGGTGGACTTTGGACTTCATGGTAGGTAGCTTATGCATGTACTCTTCCGATCCTTAATATATGACCTAATTGTTGAGTTAGTTTTGATTCTAAATATAAGATTCATTTCTCATATTTATCAATTTTCTCTAAATTACCTCTATGAATACTTATTCAACTATAATCAAGTAAAAGAGGAAAATTGGATGTTAAGATGATTATGGTATTTTAGAAAAAATGTATCACATTTATTATAATTAACTAACTTACCTAACTTCATTAATCTAATCAAATTAGTTAAATAGGTTTTAATTTAAGGATCGGATGAGTTTTTTTTTTGGGGCCGGTGTAGCTTATCCATATTGGGCAGCCACATTTTTCATTTTAATTATTCAAAAATTGTTTCACAATAATAAAATAATTCAAGTAGCCTAACCGTGCCTCTTTGTCAAAGTAAGTTATGAATTTTGAAAGATTTGCTGTGAAATCCCAAATAACAAATATAGCTATTAAAAAGTATTATTGACAATATAGCCTGCCATGATAAGATTTAGTTTAGAAGATGACAACTGCTTACTTGTTATTGAGACTTACTGATAATTATTTTCTTTACTTGAGATCTCATTATAATTCTTCTTATATTCAATTATTTATATGCCTGAATTAATTCGAAAATGGGTGACAAAATAATAGAGATGAAAAAAATTTTCTAAAAAACTTGACCTATTAAAAGAGGTGAGAAAACACCAACAAATGTTGATCCAAGTGAAAGGGATTTGGGCACTTTAAACATCATGTTTTGGGTTTAATCTTTAGGGCAGTGTGTATGAAAAAGACACTGTTAGGAGGAATTTCTGCTACGGCGCCTGACAGTACCCTCAGAAATTAGTCTTTTACCGTTCGGATGGAGGGATATTCTGGGCAACCAAAAAAAAAAAAAAAGATGTGAGAAAACAGACCCTCCTACCTTGGGCTCTATATGGGCTGGTCCTTTTACCATTAGTCTATGAATTTATTCTCCTTCGGTCCAATTGGGTGTTCGCCACCTAAATAAAAAATGCCATGCATGAAGAAATTAGTAATTTAATTTATTCTCTCAGCATAATCTTAATGTTCAAATATTAGAAACAAAATTTTGATTTTAAGTTTTTAATGAATGTTTATGTGCCTATTTATGTTCATTATTTGCCTATTTGGTATAAAATGGATTTTAGTCTTGAAAAGTCTTGTTTCGCTTTTGTAAGAGTTATACTTTTAATTATATTATTTTTTATGATAAACTATGAAAGTTATAGTTCTAATGAAACAGATGATGATTCTATCTTACCATATGTTGAATGGTCATAAGCAAATGATGAGAAATCTGAAATTACGACAAAAGAAACAAGATTCTAAGGAATCTGAATCAAGTTGTCATGTGAAAATTCAGAATACAAACAAAAATTAGGAATAACTAAAAAGATGTTTTTGTTGTTACTATTAAAAATAGGCCAATTCATAAAAATTGCATGCAGCGACAATTTTCCATCAATTTTTTTCCCAAAGATTTTTTAAAATTTACTCTGTTGTTTTCCACCAATCAGCATGTCCCATTCTGTCTTCAAATTACATGGTTTTAGGCCGCTCTGAGAAAATTTGCTTTCGATTTAGATTTTATCCTAGTAATTTTAAAAATATTTATCCTCTATTATCATCTGAATGAGAGGGGGGGGGGGGGAATCCTTTCTTCATAATAGTTATTTCTAGTTTATCTATCTGTACAGCCAGTTGTCATAGTTGAAGGGCTCATGTAGTGTTGGCTTGTTTAGGTGTGTGGTCATTATGGCGTTACGCATGAGAGGATTTACATACTTATATTATACTACCTCTAATCCTTAATACAAGACTATATTTGACTTTTATTTTGATCATAAATATAAGATCCCAGTCCACTTTGTCTCTCGTATTTATATATTTTTTTCAAAATAACCCTTCTAATAATGATAATTCTAGTCAATACATTTGATTAGCAAGAATATTTTAGGAAAGATAATAACTATTTAGGACAAATAACTAATTCAACTTACTTCTTTAATCTCTTCAAATTAGTTAACTGGCTCTTATAATTAGGACCGGAGGTAGTATATATATACAAACTCCAGTTTTTGATATGAGATATCATTTTGACTATTATTTTGGTTCTAAATATAAGACTTCAATTTGCTTTGTTTATCATATTTATGTATTTTTTCTAAGATACTTATTCTAATAATAGTAGTTTTATCCAATATACTTCATTAGCACAACACTTATTTATTCCTCAAATTAGTCAACTAGCTCTTATAATTAGGATCGGAAGTAGTACCTCATATAAATAAAATCAATATAATAATAAATGAAGGGTAAAATTATATATAAATATAAAAATTTCTCTCAATGTTCTATAAATAGAATAAAAAATATCTTTTTTCTCTGTTCTATAAATAGGACTGGAGGAATAATATTTAATTGACCATTTTAATTATCCCACAAGAAAAAAGAATAACTCGAAATATAGTGTAGTTTGTTGTAAATTTTATATCTCAAATGTAGATGAAAATAAATTAAATTTAGAATATTTCGTCATCGCCAAGAAATGACTGAATCTCCATAGAAGGAATCTTCCGTATTCGTCTCCACGCTACCCAAGACAACGACGCCACACACAGCTTAATGTTGAAGACAACCTCAGCCTCAATAATCAAATTAATTTGATGCTTTCAAATTAATTGACGTGTTACATGTTAATAAGGTTTTTTTTGAATTATTTAATAATAAAATGAATTTAAATTATCATGAGGGGTCATTCACGCATTTATCACTTTATTGACGTTTATATGTTTTATCCATAAATGTCAATAATTGTTGTCATCAAGTCTTGGTTAGCCAACAATTTATTGCCATTTCCCTAATTTTCTAGAGCGTTCGATGATGTTAATTAATTATTCCTTTTTTTCTGAAATGATATATTTTCTACGGAAACTTTCTGGTAATGGCCCATATAATTTTGTAAATCACATTTTATCCAGAACTAAATCAAACTCGATTAACCTAAATGCAATAACATACATGCGATTAAAAGTGAGGTTTTATTTGGACACTAAGCATCATTTTTTTTTGTTAATATTATTTTTAATTCTTAAAATTTGACATTTTGGCTCCTGAAATTGGACTTTATTTAGTTTATAATGCTTATTTTAGAGATCAAAATACTGTTCTAGGTAATAGGTATCAAGAATTTTTAAGCAGTCTAAAATAAACTAAAAATGATATTAATTTTTATTTTGGCCAACATCCATAAATTTAACATATACATCATTATTCATTGGACATTTTTATGAATTTGACTTTGGAATTTTCAAGCGCTAATACTTACATCCAACCCCTACTAGTGAATACCAAACGTCGAAGAAATTCATGTATAGAAAGCGTAAAAAAAAAAAAAATTGATACAGTGATGTGACAGCAAAATATTATGAGTTTTATACTCAAATAAATGCATATCTTCTACTCAAAGTCGAGTTTTTTTAACACGCACACACATTCTCGTTATTATTATTTAATAAATAATGGATTATTCTTGTTTTTATTAATTTAATTTCAAAGTAAAAAAAAGAATTAATTATGTTTACAAAAAACTATTTTTATTTATTGTAATTCATTTCCTTCTATTTCTCTAAAGTAAATAAATGAACTTTTTTTGGGCTAAAGTCAAATATGTGTAGTCACTTACGCCACTTTTTTGTGGGGGTATCTTAACCAAATGATCTGGAACTTATCTATTTTCCCATATTAATTTTAAATTATCAATTAAAAGTGGAAGAATAATAATAATATTGAAAAAAAAAATGAAAGAAGAAAGTTGCATGATTGAGGCAAATTGGCGAAGGGAGGGTGGCCACCTGTATCAACCATCCAGCTAAGCGCCGTTGGAATATTAGAGAGAGCTGATAGAGCTCGAACAGTTACCTTATTTCTTCAACCATAATATCTTAACCACCTTTCTCTCTCCTCTTCCTCCCTTCCTCTTCTCTCTCTCTCTTCATCAATTTCTGATATTTCCACAATAAGTGAAAGCTCCGTTACACCCTTTTGTTTCAAATCCTCATCGTCATCATCATCACCAACTTTTCTGTGAGGAATCACAACTCAACTCAAAAGAAGGAAAGCAGAAGTATGACAGAGGAGCAACCCAAAAAGCTGGACGCTGAATCCCCATCGGAGCCTCCGCCGCCGCCGCCTCATGAGGCCCCTCCACCGCCACCGCCGCCGCCGCCTCATGAGGAGCCTCCCCCACCGCAACCACCAGCACCTCCACCTCATGAGGAGCCTCCAAAAGATGTGACTGAGGAGAAATCTGTAACTCCGGCACCTCCTTCTGAAGAACTTAAGACTCTTGCTATAGTTGAAAGTACATACCCAACTCCCCTCTCTTTCTCACTTTTCTTCTATGTCTGTTTGTTTCCTCTGAAAAATTGATTCAAAAGGAAATATATCTCTTTCTGTGTATATGTTTGTGTTTGTGTTCCATGGTTACTCTGTTTATTTTATGGTTGGCTCAGGGGACGAGTCCTTAGCTGAACACCCTTTTTCATTTCTTATAAATATAAACAGTGAATTGTTGAATTTTTCTCTTTCTGTTCTTCAAGGCCTTCTGATAATGAATTTCTCGAGTTTAATTCACAGTGATCTCTGCTGTTTTTGTCAACTGAATTATTCCTGTCCGGTAGAGTTTCTGAAGGGCTTTTCATCTATTTGGGACTCAGAAGTCATAATCCTTTTTATAACGTATACTTTAAACTTTTATTCATTTTTTTCTTTTCTTGTCCGTTTATGATGGCTAGTATTTGCAAACACGTGCTTGTCTTAGCAGGGGACGTTTGAGACTTGTGAAAACAAGATGACTGTGAATTCATTTGTACCTTCATCTTATAGATATCAACCTTTTCTAAATGGTGATCCTTCTTATAGTTCATCCTTTAATTTCTGTGCCTGTGCTCAGCCTGATCTTAACTATTTGATAACGACGTGGTGATGAAAAATTTGGACAATTTCGAGGAATTAGTAAAAATAACTAAATTACAAGTTCTCTAAAGCCTATGAACACTCTGTAATAAGGACTGGTTGATAAATCTGTAGAGTTTTTCTACCTTCCCTCAAGTATTTGGGATTATACCCAAAAGAAATTAAAAAAAAAAAAAAGAGCTTCTGAGCCACTGTATCAAAACATATGGATTTTGCATGATTGAACCGTCAACATGATATAATGACATCATTGTGATTATTGTTGTTTATTCAGAGCCTCAAGAAGCTTCTGCAGAGAAACCATCTGAAGGCTCTGCAAATCGAGGTATCTCGACGGTTTTATATCCCTTCATGCATTTTTATATCCTAAATTAGAGGTTAAACAAGTTTTTTCATATACAGATGCAGTGTTGGCTAGAGTTGCAACAGAGAAGAGGCTTTCACTAGTCAAAGCATGGGAAGAAAGTGAAAAATCAAAAGCAGAGAACAAGTAAGAGGCTGCTTTTGCATTATTACACTACATATTTGTTTGTTTCTTTCATTTCATTCAACAAGGTTTCATAGATATTAATTTGAATAGAATCTTTTGAGCAGAGCACACAAGAAGTTATCAGCGATTTCAGCATGGGAGAACAGCAAGAAAGCAGCCATTGAGGCTGAATTAAAAAGGATTGAAGTAAGATCAATCATTCCTTTTCATTAGTAATTCCCAGAAGTGCTTTGTGAGTGCTGTTAAAATACCTGTCCATTGATTTAAATCCAGATTACTATAACTTCTGCTACGAACCAAGTGTTTTTTTTTTTTTAGGTTCCAAAGTAAAAATTGAAAGAAAACGAGTGAAAAAAATACTTGAAAATAAAAGAAATAGAAAATCAGTTGTAACAGACTGGAATTTAAATTAATCAAAATTGTTCTTTACATACTTTTCTTTTAACCTTTTTCTAAATATATATTGGTCTGCTACTAATTCTTCTGTGTGTTTCTAATTTGTATGCGAGTTAGGAACAACTTGAAAAGAAGAAGGCTGAATACGTGGAGAAAATGAAAAACAGAGTCGCTATGATCCACAAGGAGGCTGAAGAGAAGAGGGCAATTATTGATGCCAAGAAAGGGGAAGATCTTCTCAAGGCAGAGGAAGCAGCTGCAAAATACAGGGCCACTGGAACTGCTCCCAAGAAGATCCTTGGCTGTTTCTGATACTGAAATCCTGAGATCTCATGAGAAAACCAAGAAAGTTGATTTGGTAGTGTTTTATTTTTTCCGGTGAACAGTTGTTAGCGCACGTTCTTTGACTGTTCAAATGTGAGTACAGATGTGTCGTTTGTTGGTGTCAGTACAGATGTGTTACTTGTATTTAAATTATTTGTTGGGGATTTAGTTGATGTTCATTTATGATGTGTGCATATCAATATTGGTGTGAGTGCTCCAATTACTTTAGACATTAAGAAATTATAAAGTTTAGTTTGTTGTACATTGTTTTTTTTTTTTTTAAAATTATATAAAAGTGTATATAAAGCATGACTTGTCATGCCTTGTGTTAAAACCAAGTTGAATTGTAAAAATCAAAGGTGGCAAGGATTGAATTACCGAACACTTAATTTTGAGAGATCTGGATATCATGTCAAGGACTACTTTCAACCAAAAGTTTAAGTCATTAACTGAGAGTTGGTGAGTAGTTTCTAAACTCCTGACTCTAATCAGTCTCCAAGGGAGAGGAGCAGACAAAAGACTGATAAAAGCGAATGTAGAAATCAATCAAAAGGCATGAAAAATTTCCTTTTACAACCTCCATGGAGTGGGAGGTAATTTTGAATTCTGGCAAATGCTTCATCTAGCCTCCCTTCATATTACCTCTAAACCATCTAGCATGTACCAAAAGTTGAGAGCATATGAAGAAACCAGCTGAACTGTGACTAGTCACTGGACTAACATGTACAAAAATGAAGAAACAGAAAGGCACAAAATCTTCTATTCACGAAGGCATTGCCTTTCCCTGAGAAGTTTATGCAGTAGATTTAGTCATATCTATCATGCAGAGGACCCTGGAAATTCTCAGTCTGTTCCAATCCTTCAAAGAACCCGACATTGTCACCAGGTATATCTAGCAGGAGCTTTAATGCAGAATCAGAGGCATCAAGAAAGTCATGAGAACCTGAGTCTGACCCAGCTGTGCCATCTTCAAGCTTTGGATTGAGGCTGCTTAGTTGTTCTTGAGCCATGTTGGCAAAGACACTGCTTACTTGCGAGGTAGGGCTTTCGCTTTCCGCTTTCTTTTCTGTGATCATGCGAAACGATTGCCCCACCTCAGAATGCCAAAGTCGAAGAAAGCAATCAGAATGTGTGCTAGATTTAGAAAAATGATTAACACATGAGGATTCCAATTCCATTGACAGCCTTTTCTCTGCCTCAACTCTGGCCTTTTCCCACTGGATTACATGACGTACAGAAGAAGATTCAGACTTCATATCACTCCGATGATGAGGACCTTTAAAAGAGGGCTCTTGTGCCTCCAGAGAATGACCTGATGAGTGAAGGAAGCGCTTCTTCAGATGTGTGTTCCAGTAGTTCTTAATTTCATTGTCTGTTCTCCCAGGTAAATGAGATGCTATAGCAGCCCACCTAATGCGACCACATGGAAAAGATTAATGATAGAGCAATAAAATGAGAAGATTTCATATCATAAATATTGTCACTGAAACGTTATATAAAAGATCTTTTTTCCTTCTGGATAATGAGGGGTGCAATATTCTTCAGAAATCCATGGCAGCTACAACTAAAATGCTTCAATTCCATCAATTTAATTCAAAGCAATAGAATGAGTAGTGTGTGTGTGTTCAAGAAAATTAACCAGGGGATCAATGCACTACCTGTTGCCGAGCATGCCATGCAGCTGAATGATTTTACCTTCTTCTTCACTTGTAAAAGGGCCACGCTTGATGTCTGGGCGAAGATAGTTTATCCACCGAAGCCGACAACTTTTTCCACATCGAAGGAGACCTAGCGGCAGTCATGTTATAAATATTAACAAGTACTAACAGATGTACAAGTTTCTGATAAAATAGCGTACTTGGATTTAGGAGAGAACTCAGAAATGCAAAATATCATTAAATAGAATAGGATGAAATGAACTTAATTTTCATCTTTCTTCTTCACAACACCGTCTTCATATTTTTCTTCTTTGGAGTATGTCAACCTGTTGACTGCGTTATTTCCACTTACTTTTTGGCGAAGAAATATATTGTACAAAACCAGAAACAGTATGAGAGCAGCAACATGCAGAGGCTGCTCACAGAATTACAGCGAACGGCTATAATCAGTAATTTATTCACTTTTATTTTGAAATTCCCGTGGGAGTAACATCATATAAAAGAACTCTACAATGGGATTTCTCTGAGAATCAAACTGGTAACTAAAATCTAAAACCTGAAACGGAAAGAAGTTACAAAAGAACTTGGCGATTGCATTTGCTCTCAGCATGAGATAGTTACTTAAACCTTAGAGAAAAAGAAGTTACAGAAGATGTGGTCTTCAAAGATTCAGTGGTACAATTACCATAGAGTGAAACAGGCACATCCCCTTTGCAAGGATCATATGGTGACTATATCAGTCTTCATTAACAATATTTTAACCCTAGCTTCAAACATTCCAGAAGCTCCGGCTGCATCCTCCTTTTACCTTCCCACCCATGATCCCACCTAGAAAAAGAATTGACCTTTTGTACCCGAGGTTGACCAACCCGAACTAGCATTGTATTATACTTTCTCTTGTTCTAGATATTTAAGTTAGATGTCTAATTTACAGAGATTAAGAAATTTTTTTAAGTTAACTATGTGTAAAAACTATATGTTAGTTTTTCCAAAATAATCTTTTAATCATTTGCACTTGAAATTCACCTCTTTGATAGAAATCTTACTTTAAGATGCCAAAATGATTAGGGGGAAAATGTAAATATAGGAGACAAAGTGACTGAGGTGTTACATTAGGATCCAAACAAATTCTTTAACTACCTTCCACGTTTCAAACACAAGGAGGTGCATATATTAACAAGAACATATGATATATCAGCTTTATTTTTCCCCTGGTGAACAGGCATACTGTGCCATGTAATTGCTGAATACAAGATTCCATACTTCTCCACTTTTGACCCATAGGTAAAAAAAAGTGAGTGCAGAAAAAACAACAAAAAGAAAAAAGTGATGTAGGAAGTCGCACCTGCATTCTTGGGTAGTGTCCGCCAACTACCACAGCCATGCTTCTTGATGTACTGAACTAAGAGTTCATCTTCTTCAGGAGTCCAAGCTCCCTTTTTCACTCCATCTTTATCACAACATGGTGACCTCCCCATCTTCACCCCCTCATTACCAGCTTGATTTAGTCCTATATATAATCTGTTCTTTTTCTCTATTTTTAATAACCTAGAGGAAGAAGAAGAGAGGAGGAGGAGGAGAAGAAGAGGAGGAAACAGGAAAAGGAAGAAGAGTGTTGCAGTTGAAAACCCACTGAAGAGGAAGCAATGAAAACCATCAGATAGCTATAAATGCACAAGTATAGTACAATTGGGCGGCGTAAAGAACCAGGACCGTATTTAATGCATGCATGCCATGTAAGGCAATGACCGGGGTTCTTTCTTCCTAGTAACGCAAAATGAAAAAGAGAAAACAAACCTAAATATAAATCATTAAAACCCATGAAAAAGAAAGGGATTAACTAGACGGATATAATTTCAACAGAAGAAAACGACAGAACTTTCAATGAAGCAATTAGTCAAACATTTGACAGGTAGAAGACTCACGAAACCCCTCTAAAATATCATGACTCATAACTCGGTGACTTTGATGGAAAGTTTTCTTTTTCTCCTGAAAATTCCACAAAGCTTAACGCTTTAAGCGAATTCACCATATATTGGTGCAGAGGAAGTGAGGAAGATTCAACTTTCGAAGTGGCGTCACATTTTGAATAAACAAGGAACAAAGAGCAGGGGTCCGAGTGAATAAATGTCAAAACTTTGTTACCACCGAATGGGCACAACGCATTCGGTTTAACGAGGCTCGATCGGTTCAATAAAATCCTTCAGTATGAACAATTATTGAACAACAAAACGTACGTACGGACGTATGTGTTTCCTCTTGTATGAATCCGTACGTACAGGAATTTAAATATCACCTCTACGGAGAAAACACGATAATGGAAAACAAGTTAATGAGTTCATAGCCATCATAAAATCCTGCAAGCCAAGAAGCTAACAAAAGTAGGTCTTTGCCTGCTGTTCACCTTTTAATGATGACACGTTTTCAATCAAGGCTATTCAGAACAATGATGATATAGGACTGGCCTGCCTACCAGTGTGGAAAGCGGCTTTGGATGACGTTGATGACAACGTTGTTAGGATTAAAGGTAATGCTGCAGGTCAAAGGATGGCTGTAACTATGTTAATTCTGCTCTTTGTTGTTTGAGATTCTACAGAAGTTAGATGAGTTTAACTAAGATTAATTATATGGAATGTGAGAATCGAAAGCTAGGAGCACCCAAGATTAGGAGACTCAATGGAAATATGGACGCAGAAAATGTACTGGGATTAGAATAACTTAGCCGAGTTGATTAGAATCACTTCTTCAGATTGTTTCCTTTTGCTTCTTCTGCACATCCTCAGATGACTTGTTCTTAAAGTTGTCTAATACTTACTCACATGGCCCATAAAAAGCCCTTATTTCTCCTTCATCCACCATATACCCTGTTGAGGTAACGTTCAGGAGATGGTGAAGCTGACCATAGTAGGAAGGGTGAGTGATGGATTGCCTCTAGCTCAAGGTCTGAGATATGTGAATCAAGAAAATGGGTATCTTTCTTTTTACCAGAAACAAGCACAAATCATCCTACAAGAAATTTCAAGAGGAGCTTTGACGGCCTCCAAGATGACTATTCGTATTGATCATCACTGCTTCAAGTATCCTTTCTTCTCTATTTTGGGAATAAAGTTCTTCTTGAATGGTCTCTAGACTTTCATAATTTCAATGCATGTAACACAATTTTTCACCCTTTTTAAAAATCCTTTAGTACTCTGTTGTGCTGGCCGACAATCGCCAACACAGCCCATATCAGTCATGAAGAAGGATAATTAGCTGAAAAGATCGCAACAGGGATGAAGATGATTGTTTTTCACTAGTGACTGGGCTTAGTTGGCGTAATTCCTGCTAGTTTAGAGCTTATGATGTCCCATCATTTTCTAGGTTAACAAATTTTGAAATCTCTCAAATTTAAGCCTGGGACTCAAAGCTAAGATTAATTAAATTATTTCTTTGACATGAACTCTTGATTCTTTTATTGCTTCTCTGTTCTGCTTCATATTCTTCACGTTCTTATCTTTTAACTTCAGATTTCTTTAATGGGTCATCTTCATGATCCTTTAACGAGAAGCTGAGTTTGTAGAACCATTTTGCTTAAGGCTTAAGCTATAGATTTGCTTTTCTGAAAAGTTTTTTTAACTGATTTTTTTTCTTCCCGAGAAAGTTTGAATGCAAGAAATTTAACTACAATTGATGATATGTTGGTATTGATTAAGCTACTTGATCGAGAACGGAGTTGTTTTCATTGTGTTATGTGATTCCTCGTACCCAAGAAAACTGGCTTTCCATTATCTTCAAGATTTACAGAAGGAGTTTGAGAAGTTTGATAAAACCCTCACAGACAAAATCACAAGGCCATACAGTTTTGTCAAATTTGGTAATCTTCATTTACAGCTGTAATGTTATTAGCATCTAGCATTTAGCGTTAATGTTTGGCTGCAGAGAAACTGAAATATAACAGGAAAATTTTTTCCAGATCTCTCTCTCTATTTTTTTTTTAATCGTTTACTCCTTTGGTTTTATTTATAGAACAGAAAGAAAAGACATTTTTTGGTCTTATAGGGTACCGAGAGAAATTTTTTATATAGATGCATAATTTTACCCTTCATTTATTATTGTGTTAACTTTGTTTACATGATGTATAATATATATGACCTTTGGTTTTTAATATAAAAGCTAGTTAACTAATTTGAGTAGATTAAAGAAATTAGTTAAGTTAGTTATTTGTAATAAATAGGTACTGTCTCTCCTAAAATATCTTAACTAGTTTAGTCTTTTGACTGGAATTATCATTATTATAAAAACTACCTTAAAAAATAGATAAATATGAAAAATAAAGTAGATTGGAATTTTATATTTAGGACCAAAATAAAAGTCAAACGAGCTCTTATATGAAGAACTGGAGATAGTATTAAATAAAAATAAAATTGCAAAGTTGTTGAATTTTAAATGAAAGTTAACGAAATTTAAAGTTTTTCTTGATCTATGTGAAATATGTTAAAAGTGATTTATAAATAGGACTAAAGGAGTACACCTTTATTAGCAGCTGCAACCTTCACATATTTTCCTGGCAAAAATATTAAAATTGCAAATAACGTTTCAATTGCAGATGGTATAATTGCAAATATTAGAAGACAATATATCGATACAAGGACACAGGCCAACCTTTCAAAGCTTAATGCGAATCGGAGACAAGACATAGATGTTGTTACTAAAGACATGTCCAACATTTTAGGAAGAAGTCCAGGTAAGATTTTTTTCTGAACCATTTACCCCTTGCTTCTCATTAGTTTCACTGGTAAAAATCATGAACAAAGTTAAAAGCAACTTATATTTTATATGACTAGGCTCAGCTGGACCAATTTAAAAAATGTCAAACTATAAGAACCATAGTGAGGATTGAGTAAAACTCTCAAGTACACTGGCATTGCTCTTCAATCTATTGTTTCATATAGTAATAAATACCTTGTAATGACAGAAACGGTGGAAAGATTGCCTGCTACTCCTCCGTCAGCATCCTCTATATGGGGTTCTCCTCGCCTTGAGGTATCATATAAACTGCTTCTAATGCCTATGAAGTAGGCTAACTCGATCATTTTTCTTCTTTCCTTTCAATTTCTTGACAAAAAAGCAGAACAAATATGTTACTATACAGTTTTGTTCCTTTGGTGCACAGGTGATCGCACTGAAATGGACTCCTATTATGATCATCGTTGTTGCTTCCATGGTTCTATTATGGGGTAGCTTAGTCCTCACAGACTACTTTATAATTTCAAGCTGGTGATACACTGAGATCAAGATTAATGAGAAGGATCTAATATGATTCAACTTTAGTTGTTGAAGCACTCATGGAAAGGGATAGATTCCTCCTCGTGTGGGAAAACGAGAGGGTTGAAAGAGAGAGAAAATTTAAACGACTCTGATATGTCATAAGAGTTTGTACTGTAGTTTCCCTGGAAAGTGATATCTTCTATTTTATATCATATGAATTATTTGGAGCATATATGCTGGTGCATAATATATTAATATGTACTTGGTTTACTATTCATGGTTTGATGTTGTGAGCCATAGAAAAAGAAATCAGTAAATCTGCTCCAATCGGAATATAGGTATGTGCTTGGTTCTTTTCTTGATAGCACTTAGCTGGCCAACCTTGCTTTTTTGAGAATCTCAAGTGCCTAAAATCTTTTCTGCATTCTGTGGAGAAAATATCTTTTCTGGGGAAAACTTTCAATCAACCATAATTTATTTTCTTGATCATATTTTTTAGTCACAAACTTTGCTCCCAAAGGTTGACAAGATGACCTGCTTTCAAGAAAAAACCAAAAGAATTAGAGCAAATCCCTAACTTGTTCTTCTAAAGAAAACATTTGTTCACTGTTCTCAAAAGTTTGATTTTGTTCTTATTTCATCCTTCCCTTCCCAAGATAGTTAAACCAAACAGCAAATATTCTATGGGCTTGAAAAAGCAATAAAATTTTCCGACCTGTAAAGTGATACTAACAATTTCTAGGGAGCTAGCTGATGGATTTAAGTGGGTTTTTACTGAAAAGCAAATTATCATGACCCTGGGCTCTCATGTTATTTGCTGTGTTATCTGGAACATAAAAGTTGTCTCTTGTCCCCACGTCCTTCCATAATATAATGGACAACATATAAATCAACTCCGAAATGTACAAGATTTGCAGCAAACGTTATTGAAATAAAACCATAAAGTTTCGACTCTGTAATCTGAAACAAGATTCCATAGGTAAGCAACTCCGAATGAGTAACAGTTAAATTACACTTTTCTGGCATCCTATTGAAGTCATTTGAAATGGCCAACTCAAACTCTTCGTAATGAATGTGTGCGTGCGTGCGTGTGTGTGTGTTGATATAGGTTGATTTTTTTTTTTTCCTGTGAAGTATAATTATAGACTATTCTTCCTCTTTTGCGTCGCTTTGGAAACTCTGCTTCTACATGTACATTTCATCATTGTTCATGCTGAAACTTGGAAAATGGATGACCCCATTTCCTGCCATTTGATTTGCCATCTTGAACTGTGCATTGAAGACTTCAGAAGCTGCTGCAGCATTTGGGGTTGTTAGACCATTATCAAACTGTCCACCATAGCTTCCTCCTTCTGATACACCATGCATTGCAGCTTCGTGGAAATCTGAGTACTGATCAAAACTTCCAATTCCAAACACAAAAGGGTCATCACCTGAATTTGCAGGGATCCCACTGTTGGCTTGATCTAGTGAAAGCCACTCAGCAAAAAGAAGCTTTGGCAAGGAGCTCTGATTAGCCTCTTTGATGAAGTTATAGTTTTGCAAAGAAGAGCAGTGATCAGAGATTGGCATCGCTGGTTTTTGACTTGATGATGAAGTAGAATCAAAGGTATCTGAGCTTGAGCTAGCATACTGCATTTGTTTATTATTTTGAGATTGTATTTCCTCTGCCTTGGCCACTTTCTTTTTCAAATATGAATGCCAGTGGTTCTTTATCTCATTATCTGTCCTTCCTGGTAAGTGTTGAGCTATCTGAGACCACCTGATCAATATGATTTGAGTTTTACTTAGCAATGTTCGTAAAAAATGGAAAAGAGTTTCTGAAAGGAATTTTTTTTTTTTGGGGGGGGGGGAGGGAACTGCGATATGGATTTCAATGGAATGCTGCCTTTTCTTGGAAAAAAAAAAAAGATTCAAGAAAGTAAAAGTGATACATAAATTCTTTGATGCTGTTAATTAAGGTATTTTATTTGGAAAGTAGGATTCAATTTAGGGTTTTGAGCAGTAGGCTAAAATTACCCCAATATTCAATTGTTCATTGACATCTGTCCCTACCGTTAATTAAAAAAAAAAAAAAACGCATGCCAATTCATGGTTTGACTAACCTATTGGTTTTTCCTCTTAGCTGTATCTTGAATTGGACCCACTTACTGCTAATTTATTGACAATTAACAACGACTTATTGACTTGGAACTCTAAACCAGTTATATTGACTTAAATTTAAAGGGCAGACCTTTCTTTTTCTTTCTTTTTTTGCTTCAAATTTCCACGACAGGAAAAAAAAATAAAATTGCTGTAAATTAATGAAAATTTGAAAATAGGCCAAGTGTTACTGCTTACTTGTTGCCTAGCATGTGGTGAAGGGTCAAGATTTTCTCCTCCTCTTGTTTGCTGAACATCCCTCTCTTCAACCCTGGCCTTAGATAGTTGATCCACCTCAATCTGCAACTCTTCCCATTCCTCTGCAACCCTGTTTACTCAACTCAACCCCATCAGCTAATAGCTTTTTCAATTTTCAATACTAAGAAAAATAATAAATAATAATTAATTTAATAGAACCAAAAGTCCCCTTCCCTCTTTTTCATTCTTACATCTTGATTATCATAAGCAGAATCTACTGTTCACTCAAAATGTCTATGTTTTCTTAAGCATCAAAATGCCGAAGTTGTCATTTTACAATGATGACTCTAATCATTTAACCTGGTATCTCTAATGAAACTTTTGATGCCTATCAGTCACCCATATCAGATAAAAGATTGTTCTTTAAATCACACATGAACTCTTCAAATTTTATGGCGATAAGGAATCAGGAAGAAGGAACAGACCTGCCTTGATGGGAACAGAGCTCCAGCAGCCATAGCCATGCTTGAGAATATAGTTTCTGAGCTTATTGTCTTCTTCGGGTGACCATAACCCTTTCCTGTGTTTTGGTTTTGCCTTATCAGCTGGCTGCCGCCCCATTTTGCCCTCTGTCTCAGAAACTGTGTTCAATGGATTCTACTGAACAGACACAAAACACAGAAACAGAGAGAAAGAGAAAGCAGAATGTTTTGACATGCAAATAGTGGACAGCCATATCCATATATATAAATCAGGAATTAGTTGTATTCTTGAATTTTTTAAGTCCTTACCAACTCACAAATTAGAAATAAAAATAAGTTGGGACGTGCAAAGGGGCCTCAATTATAATGTGTATATATACATGTATTTGTGTGTGTGTGTGTGTATGGAACTACCTTCCTGGAATGAGAAGAAAAAGAAAAACTTGAGGTGACCAATAGAGATTCAGAAAATTCCAAGTATTAAGTGTTGTATTGAATAAAAAGACTCCCATTATATTGGGTTTGGAGAGAAATAGATATATGCAAACTTACCCCCACAAGCAGATAGGCTGTTTTTAGAATTTGAACCCGTGACCTCTAGTATATGAAGGCAACCTAATCGGATATAAAGTAATGGTTAAGATTTTTAGATATTTATTTATTATTATTAAGAATATTTGGTTTTAATTTTAATTTGACTGTTATCCATTATCATTAATTGTTATTTGCATTTAACTCTGAAATTCTAGAAGTTTTTGTCATTTATTTTTAAGTTTCAACTCATTTACTTTGTACGCCTTATGAATTGAATAATATGGAGTACCAAGTATTTTCACCTTCTCCCTTATTCATCTAATTTTCCCCTCCACTTTTGCTTTCTCATTGTATTCAATATGAATGTGCTAGTACAGAGTAGGATGATCAATGGAATATAACGGACATCAATTTAATTATTAGCAGGGAAATCAGCAGAACCTAAACTCAAAAGCTACATCTCTCATATTTTTTCATACACTTGGTGGTTGGTATCTAGTTGGTAAATACTTCCAATAATATGTATAATGTGATAAATTAAAATATGACAAGAATGTTGAATCCTGACTTATGGCTTTTAATTTTTTTTTTTTTTCTGTGGAGGCTAATTGGAAAGTACTCGATCAACACAACAGGGCCTTGTGCTTGTTGCCGACACTTTTTTCCTTGCAAATATATGATGAGATATTCATTAATGTGATTTAAGCTATGAAGAAAATTCGTCCCTAGAAAACTAGCTTCATATATTATATGAGTTTGTTATTTAAACTTTGTCATTATAATTGTATCCATGTTCAATGAAATTTAAATATATCATGGGGTTGGTAGTATATATATGTGTGTGTGTATATATATATGTATCCTATTTTCACTACTTGTGACATGATTCATAGATTTTTTTTCTTGTACGAAATTTGAGAAAAATGAATCAGATTATTTATGACATACTACCTCCCGTCTTAATATAATAACTATATAAATAATTTATAAATATTTAAAAAAATTAGTTAAGTTAGTTATTTATAATAATTTATAATAAATGAGTAATGTCTTTCATAAAATATCATTTATTAATCATGTGTATTAGAATGAAAATCCTTCAACATGTGCGATCATCATCATAACTATTTTAGGAAAAGATGAATAAATATGGGAGACAAAATAAATTAGAGTTTTATATTTATCACCAAATTAAATTTTCAGTTAGCTCTTATATTTAGGACTGGGAGTAACATAAATAGTATGATTTGTTATTTTGTTTTAAATTGTATACTGATATGGATGATATAGAAAGGTAAAGATTGGTCAATTGCTATTCAAAAACTGTGAAGTGAAATAGAATGAGGGGTGAAAGAAAGAAATAGACAAATCGCTACTATTGAAGGCTCATCAAGAAGTGAGATAGAATGAAGGCCGAAAGAAATAGACAAATCGCTACTATTGAAGGCTCATCAATAATCTTGTTGTTTACGTAAACATCAAAATTTTAGTACTCCTTCTATTCTTAATATAAGATCTATTTAATTAATTTGATTAGATTAAAAAAGTTAGATAAGTTAGTTAATTATAAGAAATATGATATGTTTTTCCTAAAACACCATAATTATCTTTCTTAATATCCTTTCTCCCTCTTCTACTTGATTATGGTGGAAGGAGTATCTATAGAGATAATTTAGAAAAAATTGATAAATATAAGAAATAGGTCTTATATTTAAGACCAAAATCAACTCAACAATTAGATTATATATTAAGAACCGGAGGAGTATAATTTTTTTAAAAAAATAATTAAGAAAAATTAAGTAATTTGGATTATAAAATATTGATGAAAAACTAAATAAATCATTGATGTGTGTGCGTGTGTAAACATGGAACTCGTGTATTTTGGTGAGACTTCTTTATATATGTGTGTGTTTGTAATGTATTTGATTTATTTATTTATGTTTGATAAATTTATGTATTTAGAGATTACAAAAAAAAATTGTCCAAAATAATCTGTCCAGACTCCAGAGACTATACGCAGTTAAGAAACCACTGTGATTGGATGATGTCTTCAAAGTTCAAACGATGATTAAGTGACCGCCCCAAGGTTTAATTAAAGAGTGCCCTTTGATGTCAAAAAAAAAAAAAGAAGCCCTTTTTTCCTTTCTTTCTTTTTAATAAATTTTTTACATTAATAGGAAGATTTAAAATGTATATTTCTATGAGATATTAGCTACATTCTTCTTAATCAGAATTTTTTTTTGGAAAAATTCTCAAAAAATAATGATTGGATTTCAAAATTTTAAATTACGAATTATTATAAAAATAAGTTGTTATTTACTTTTTGAATGTAGTCAACGAGTGTAGCAACTGATGCTGATTTAAAATGTCAAAATTTAACAATCATTTTTTTGGATTTTTTTAAATTTTTTTTGTCGATATGATATTTCATACATTTTTTTGCAAAGTAATATAACTGTTGGCAAAAACATAATGTAATTATTGTTTCAAAAAAAATAATTATATACAAACACACATATATTAGATACGGTATCACTGTGGTCTATATTATAATTTACTTGTAACGGAATTTTTTTGATCTTAGGGTATTTAATTTACTAGATACAAATGCATTAGGTTATTTAATTCTCGTTAAAAATAAAAAAGAAGAGAGAGATGTGAAAATAATTTTTAAATATAAAATTTTTTTGATAAAAATAAATTTAAAAAAAGTTACCAATCTAATGCATTTGTAAGAATAATTTACAAGTTATAATAAGAATGGTACATATAAAAAAAAAAAAAACTATTGACTTGTTGACATTTTGGAGTGCGTACAAGTGAGTCATATGCATATATCTCAAGAATTATTAATTACATATTTGATTATGTAATAATTTAATAATTTAATAACTTAGTGACTTGCTGAAATCAACAAGGAATCACAATTATTGTTGAGAATTGGCCAGCGTGATGCTTCAATTCGCAAATTCAATGGTTTTTGCTTGCAATTTTAACTTAAAAAATACACCAAATCGTACTTAATTATAAAAAATTCTCGTTGAAAAATTGTTAAAAAATATTCATATTTGTCACGCATTCGTTTCTCCCTTCTAAAAGGGCAATGAGTTGTTCTTTGTTTTCCCCCCTTCATTGAATATTGTGTAGGATGCCAAAAACATTTTAAATATTATAATGTTTATTGTATTTGATTTTATTTTAGAAATTAAATAGAGGATTAAAGGACAAATTTGTCTTAAGCAATTAGTATTCTTTACTTATGCAATGTTCTCCTAAAAATTTAAGAAATAATACAATATTTTTTTGACTGTTAGTTAAACCATTTTAATAAGGAAAAAAACCACAATTTTCGTATAAAAATTATAAACAATTATGCATCTATGTCACCCACTGGTTTGGCCCTTTTAAAACAATTATGCATCTAAAACAATTATAAACAATTTTCCCCTCTTTTAAATAACTTGTGTTTGATGCCAACAGTATTTTAAATATTATACTCTTCGTTAATCTGATTTTGTTATAGTGAAGTAATTAATTTATTATATAGTAGTACATTTTTAAAAAATCGGGTTGAGCATTGTAATAATGTTTTAAATATATAATGCCTTAATCTCAATGTATGTTTATAAATAACAGAAGTCATAAGATGATCAGTTTATGTTCATTAAGATTTTGCTTTTAACAATGATATGTGTACATATAATATATGGCCAAAAAAAACAAAAAGATGTGTATATATCTATTTTTTAAAATATATATTATGAATTTATGATTCATGTATATAATTGACTTAAATTATTTAAATTTAATTTACATGATCCAATCAACGTAATTGAAACATAAGTAATTCCCTTATGAGAATATTGAAAAAATTATAATTTAATTCATTTGTGCCATGCTTGACGTGATTAGGATCAAATTATTATTTAATCACACCATTGGATTTCACTGGGTGATCCATTCAAATAATATTTAATATTCTGTATACACTGGTCATTAAATATATTTTCCCCTCATTTTTATACTACTGAGAAGCATTAAAAAAAATTATTTATATCACAAAAATCAACCCCTTCACTTTTGGAATATGCTTAAATCCGTAATTCCTTGATGCTTAAAATCTCTTCTTCTTCTTTTTTCTTTGCTCCAACGATGCTTGAAATCTTTATGCCCCCTTAACATAAAACATAATATAACATATATCTTATTGATCTATAATTAATTTAGATTTCTTTAAGTGTATAATAATAAATTCATTAGTGTGATAAACGACAGATTGATTGATTGATTAATTAAGTAATTAATTAATTAAGAGTGATGGTGACAACTTTCTAGGTGACACCGGCGACCCCATTGAACAGTGCTAGGTACTTCGAATCTAATTACTTGCTTGTTAAATAATACAAGAAATACTATTTTTAATTCAAGTAATAGGAAATTAATATCAAAAAATAATTTCGGTGCATTTGATTTATTTTTAAATACCAAATGACCCTCTCCTAATTCATCGAGTTTATATATTGCTTGGGATTAATGGACTTACGTTTAAATTAGGGCTAAGCGTGAAACTATTGATGATTTTCAATGTTATCATAAATCAAATGTTTTAAAATATTTAGATATAAAATTTGATAGATTCTAATGTTGGACAACCTAAAAGTAAAGTAAACTCTCTATAGTCAAGTCTAAACCTAATTCAAAAGAAATAGATGAAATTTGGCTAATCCGGCTGTGAAATTTCAATACGCTAACAACTGTTCAGTGCAGTTCTTTGAAAAATTATACTCTTCAGTTTAGTTTTTTAATTTTATTTCATTTGTAATTTAATTTTTATAATTTAAAAAATTTTAATTTACTTTATACCCTTAGCTTTATGAGCCTATAAAACCTACTACCTCCAGTCCTAATTATAATTATAAAAGTTAGTTGACTAATTTAAGGAGATTAAAAAAAAAAAGTTAAATGAGTTATTTGTAATAAATATGTGTTGTCTTTCCTAAAATATCCTTACTAATCAATTATATTGGCTAGAACTATTATTATTATGATGACTACTTCGAGAAAAAATATATAAATATGAGAGACAAAGTGTATTGAGATCTTATATTTAGGATCAAAATAAAAGTCAAATAAGATCTTATATTAAGTACGGAGGTAGTATCTCTTAACCAAGAAGGAATTATGAATATTTATTTATTTATACGACATAAATTCGAGACATTATTTAAAAGGTCTAAATTCTATTATCACTAAATTCAACAACTAGCAGCCTAACATAACTTTTAAACTAGATTAATATTACATAAGAACGAAATTAATATTTTTTGAACCATGGGCCTCTTCAATAAAAAATATCAGGAGACCGACCAAGACTTCTTCTTCTTTCTTAAATAATAACAACAACAATAATAATATGAAGCAATTTCGCAATTTTTTTTATTTTTTTCTTACTGGCCTGAGCATGTTTCATGTAAAGATTCACACGGATTAAGTTAAAATGGTTTTGGTAAAATCAAAATTATGATCAGTATTTTGTCAGAAACATTATCATCAGTACTTCTCGTAGTTACAATCTTGTCTCGTTAATATTGCGAAAATATTTTGGATTCATAATTTCGATAAGTATAGGTAATAGAGTAATCCTTAGAAAATATTAATAATAATTTTTGAGCTTTACAAAAAATTATTATTAAAGCCGTTTGGAATAATAATTATTATCCCATACAAGTCTTTTGAAAAGTTTACCAAAGTGATATTTTTGTGTGAATATTTAAATAACCAACGATTAGAATTGTTTAAATTTGTTGTAACTTGACCTAATCATAGGAGAAAAGAGGTTTATCATATGATTTTTTATGTCACAATTGAGTTAATTATAAAAAATGTCAACCCAAAATGTTATTAATTAGAAATATATTTACTTATATAGGGACATCCAATGAAATTGGAGTAAATATCTCAACCATTAAACTAAACCTCAGGTAGGTAAAAAGCACTATTCAGATCCTAAGTCAATTATGACTTTAGCAGTTTAGTGCTCGAATCAGCATTGTCTGACGTAAAATAGGAATTTTGGCTCTTGTAATAAAAATATAAATTCAAGAGCCATTTTGGCTGAGTCTTTGGTTCAACCTTCTCATCTGTAAGCTTTCTAATATTTATCTCAGAAGAAGAGAAGGAATATACTCACAGCTCAGAGTGATCTTGTGGAGTTCATAGGTTTGGCTTGCTTGATTTCTACTTTTATATTTAATTCAATAATGAATTATTTGTGATGATTAGAATGCTGGATATTGCCATCAGCGAAAATGATTTGAGTGGCTGCAAAAAGTGAGAGAAGAAAATGAAAGGAAAAAAAATAAACAAATAAATAAGAGGCATGACTTTAAAATTATAACTAATATTTTAAGACTTAAAAAGTTGCGTTGGAAAAGTCATTAGTTTGTCATGGCTGTCTTAATTTTGCATTCTTAGGTTTTGAGATCATCTCTTTCTTAGTATATTGCATTTGTCTTTTACTACCTCTTATCCTTAATATAAGATCTCGTTTGGTTTTTATTTTGGTCCTAAATATAAGACTCCAATCCACTTTATTTCTCATATTTATATTTTTTTTCTAAAGTAGTTCTTCTAATAATGATAGTTTTAGCCAATACACTTGATTAACAAGAATATTTTAGGAAAGACAACACCTAGTTATTACAAATAACTAACTTAATTTATTTTCTTAATCTTTTCAAATTAGCCGGCCAACTCATATAATTAGGACCGTAGTTAGTACTAAATAACCTTTCTTAGACAAATACAAAATTTTTTGCCCCCTATTCACGTGACTTGTATCATAGGATTCTAAATAAGACGGTGGTTTGTATATTACCTCTAGTCATTAATATAAGACCTAACTAATTTTAAAAATTACTAAATTATTTAATTATAATACATATTATATGACCCCTTTCAAATACTTTCGTGTATTATTAAATTATGCATCGATTTATAAGTAAGGTAATTAATTGAGAGAGAATTGACAAATATAAATATGTTAATAACTCTTTTAATTTTCTAAATTAGTCAAATGAATTTTATATTAAAAATGGGGATAGTACATCGCAAAGTTCATTCACTATTATGACTTGGTTTAAAAGCGTGGGGATAACATATCAACTTCATTGATAATTTGGCAGGGCAGCAAGAGAAACAAAGGACAACATTGAAAACATAAGGAATTTAATATTGAATTGAGAAACATAAGATCCGTTAAAGATTAAACCAAGCTGTGTCTCTGAAAAGGAAAAGAAGATTTCTGCCATGGGGATCACTGTAACGCCGAAATATAGACGGCAAAAGACGGATACGGCAATGATATCAACCAAACTTTGCAGCTACAGCCGTCTTGGCAACAAAGCAACAAGGAAAATAACATAACTCAGAGACAGATGAGGAAAGGAAAAGGGAAGGGGAAAGGATTTTCTCAGCAAGATAGAAAGGAGACCCTCAGGCAGAAATCAGAAATCACAAAAATATTTGTGCATAGAATGCTGGTACATGAATGTAAAAGATTCAATTTACAAAAATTGATGCCCGCCTATTAATATTTCCGACAAAACCCAGTTCGTTAAACATTACAAACCTCAAACTCCAATTTCTAAGATATGTCAACTCCAGGCTTTACCATACAAAAGCATACAAAAACATTTTTCATCCGAATCCCACATAATGAAGCTGTGACTTTAAATCTTGTACGGGAATCAAATTAACACCTATCACCCTATCCTCTAACTACAGACTCAATTGAAGCTAGTAGAAAATGTCATACAAGACAAACAAAATCAGGACAACTTGGATCACATCTGCTACACCTGGTGTCACGGTAATCACGATGCAACAGCAATCAGACCCTGGTCACCCCACTCTTTCCAAGAGCAAGCTTAACTACTTGTTAGCAGTACAAAGAGTACCCTTCCAGGACTCAAGACAAACACAAGATTGTAACTTGTACAAATACAAGAATCAGTCAATACATCAATTGATAGTCCAACAAGTTAACATAGAAACCATGTCATAAAAGTAAACTCTGGTCAGTCTCTCTCTCCCTACTTCTCTCCAGAAACTTAAATTTCAAATCCGGCACCCTAGGCTGCCTATGCTATGATAACAAAGGATAAACCCTGCTTGTTCTTGGAATACCGAAGAACCGCAGTAACATGCTGCCAGGACAGAAGATCCTGATTTAAATTCAATTAGTGATCATTTTGAACTGGAATCTGGAGAGCTGCTGAGGAATGGTGGATATAACAGGGCCATATCTCTGCACCAGCACAAAGTAATTGTGTCAACACAAATGTCAATGTTTTGGGCGGAGGGGGGTTTATGACCGCCCAATTCAAGATATCTCAAATGGCAAACATTGGCAAATTTTAATTATGACCCCCAAACAGTAAACATTTTAGACAGGTCCAAAAATCTGCCACATCAAATTGATCAAATTCCCATATTAGAACTAATTCACCTAAAAGATGTCTGCCCACATTTAATCACTTCAGCAATGAACCTAACACATTAATTTCACATGATAAATAAAGCCATTACCATACCTGAACATTGTCATACAGTTCAAACAATGGGACAGCAAGAAGCTTAAGGTTTTTGGGCACTGCAAAATACTCCCTCTCAGATAAGTGGACGAGGAAAAGCTTTTTGCACTCCTGCATAGATTAATCACATGTTTGTGAGCATAGAACCAGAGAATCAAGAAGATATTGCATATTCAATGACATATTCTTGACATATCACCTTCGGTTTTGTTATGTGAGGAGGGCAGTATGGATACATAATGGTTTCAAAGTTTGGCCTCCACCAGATTGCCACACACTCACCTATCTGCATCAAGTGTAGTTCAGCACAATCAATCAAATATATTAAATCAAAATTTTGTTGTAAGCCTACGTAAAACTGAGAGGAGATGAGCTTCAATCATGTTCCTGAATTATCACTCACATGGCTCATCCCTGATTAAACCATTAGAGAACATCTCACATTTGCCCGTGGGAATAAAATCTGAAAAATCATTATCCGTTTTTTCTTGGGCCAACAATCATCATCCTTGTTTGACTGTTCAACAGGACAGAAATTGTTTCCATTTCCCATCCCCATGCTGCTAATGCTAACTGTCATCTATCCCTACTTAGTTACATTTTTAACATCTCCCTTCTGAGTAAGTAGGTGTGATGTCATGAGAAACAATACCTGCCAGTCTGGCACAAGGGCTGGTGAATTAGCACCAAGCTTGCTGGTCAACTTTCTCCTCAGGCCCTCAGTCTCTGTCCCACAAAATTAAACAACAGAAAATCAAGTTTATAAGGGATAAATAAAACTTAATAATTTCATACCATTTGATATTATGAATCAGGAAATGCAATAACTTACCATTCTCCCCTGGCTTGAGGCGCCCCCCTGGAAGTTTACAGAAGGTATTACCAATTTGTAAAAGAAGTATGTGAGGATGATTGTGTTCTTGTACCTGCAAAATACAGCCCAGTGCATATTATAAAAGGAGTAAACAAAAATCTTTTTCTAACACATGAAAATGTAATAGCAGGACGATAGCATATTAAGCATAAGAATAAAGAACGCCCTTCATAAGAGGGGGTAAGGCCAACACCAAGCGTATGCACAATGTCTTGCACTTCTCTACTAGTCAAAATATAACAGCGTGTTCATTTTCCTTGGACAATGATGTCAGCCTATAATCTGATTACCAAGATGACTTTATAAGCAAATGTAGAAAAGAGTGAGTTACACAGACCCTCTTGGAATATACTGCAATTGAACATGCGCTGCTTCAGAAAGTGCATATATCTACTTCAAAACATAAACAGCGCAACATCCATAGTTGAATTTTAAATATGTATTCTTATCGTATAATTCAAAATCCTTGCTGGCTTCCTAATGAAACTTGCTCTTGTAAAGATGCACAGCTTCTCCTCTACTCCTCTCTTTACTATTTTAATGTAAAAAATGCCTCGACTCAAATTTAACATTTGCTCATTTTTCTTGCAAAAGATAAGGGCTTGGTATTTTTAAGCACCCGTATTTTGTAATGGTAACAGCTTAGAGAATAAGATTGATTTTTAGACCAAAACTAAAATTAGGGTACATGATGATTCGTAAAAGGTAGGCATTGACAAAGGGGCATGAATAGATGAGATAAAGAACTCAAATGTATAGCGGCGGCTCTTCCTCTCAGCCTGCCTGCATCATGAAAATGATTTTGCAATACTCCAAACAAAGTTTATGCAATTCGCTGCACGCACAAGATGTGTCGGAAGTTTAAAGAGCCAAAACCAATTCTTAAAATATCTTAAGTTACAGCTGTATAGTACCCCGTTGGATCAAAGCCCCTAACCCAGGGCTCAACAAGGACTAAGTGGAATGACAAAGAAACAGACAAAACAATAAGAGATAAATCACACAACATACCAGTAAGATGCCCTCCACGCTGGTCCTCATTCCTTCTTTCATGTAACTGCAGCTCAGAAATAATTACATTTGAGAACATTGTGGTTACATTTGCAACATGAGCGTAGGAGTAGAATATAAAGAAACTATAATGCTTATTGCAGGAACCTCATTACGAAGGAACCTTAACGAACGATGGCAGAATTGGTTACATGCTATGTGACAATTTAAAATCATTTCTGACACTAAAAAATATCATATTCTCCCAATACAGGTTCTTTCTCAGAACAGATCTCCTGAAATCGGCTTTTCATGAAGCTTTGAGAAATCAGCCAAACCTAAATGTTGTCTTCTTCTTTTTGGGGGGGGGGTGTTAGGGGATTAAAGCAGAATACCTAACTAAAACTTCAGAGAATGCACAGGCTTCTTTCCTCACGGGAGAGAGAGAGAGAGAGAGAGAGAGAGAGAACAAATAAGTAAAATATAGCAGAATCCTACTATGCCTGCGGCATGCTTACCTTGAAAAACGTTGCATAACATGAGTTGATACTAAATTCATCAATTTTTAACATGATTGCAAAGTTTTCTAAAGCAATTTCTCAGCAAATTGAAACTGGGCATTCCTGGGAGAGAGGAGTTAAGATCGTTCTAGGGTTTATGAAGTTTGACGAGACTAAGCCGAACAGAGCGATAGAAAACGATTAGAAATGGAGAAAAAGAGACTAACTTGACTTTCATACGAGCAAGACGATCAGCGACGGACGTGTCCTTCTCCATCTTGGGCTCCTTGGTACCGAAGGTGTAGCTGGAAAGAGGGTATGTGTTGACAACCTGAGACGGTAACATGTTGCTCCTCGGCGAGTCTCACTGGAAGGCGCAGGAGAATCGAAGAAGCGCCTGAAGATCCAAATAGAGGTGGAGTCAGCGACGCAGTGTGTTTCAGGCTCTTGCCGCTCCGAAACTGTCCCGATTGTGGGTTCTCTTATACCATTAGCATTAGTAATAGGAATATCAGCGTAAAATATAAGATTTGTAATAATTCGTATTTTTTCCGCATAAATCACATAATTGCTGCATTACAAAAATGATAAATAATTAAATAAAGTAAGGAATTAAATATTTGGCAGTTGAAACAATTAGCGCGAATTGGCATCTTGTCAATCCAAATATGTCTAAAATACCCAAATATAACAAATAAATATTTTTTTAAAATATTCTTACTAATTATGTACTCCTCCGGTTCTTAATATAGAACCCAATTTTTGAGTTGATTTTGATCCTAAATATAAGATCCATTTCTCATATTTATTAATTTTCTCTAAATTACCCCTATGGATACTCTCTCAACCATAATCAAGTAGAAGAGAGAGAGTATTAAGAAAGATGATTATGGTGTTTTAGGAAAAATGTGTCACTTTTCTTATAATTAACTAAATTACCTAACTTCCTTAATTTAATCAAATTAGTTAAATGGGTCTTATATTAAGGACCGAAGGAGTATAATAAAATGAAATTTGTTAATATATACAATTATCACATGGATTATTTGAAGAAAAATAAATAGATATAAAAAATGCAACAAATTCATAATTTTATATTTATAGCTAAATTAATTTTCTAACTAAGTCTTATACGTAATAATTCGTGCAGCTTCTAGCATAAGGACCATGTTTCTCATTAGCTTTTTTTAAAAAAAAAAAAAACATTGAGGCATGGAGTATTTGAGATTTACTTTCTTATATTTTTGTGGAATGCATATTTAGTCAAATCATAAAAGATATATATATTCCTCATATTTTTATCTAAAAATTATATCTTTATTAGATTAGATATAGAAAAACATACATAGAACTAACTCATTGAAGTTTGAAAAGTTAAGGCTTTGAGTATATCTATGTTAAAAAGAAAGTTTACATGCTGGTCAAAAAAAAAAAAAGAAAGTTTACATGATACGTCCATGAATTGCCGAAGGACGATGATAAATACAGTACATGCTTTGTAGTTTTAGGATGTTCGTTCATAGCGCGCGTGAAAGCACAGGGACGAACGCAAGCAAGCACTGCGGCACGCTTGCTATTTTGCCGGGAGGAAGAAAGCGCGCCAAACCAACGAATCCTTCTTAATCAGCTGGTCGCGACTGAACCTCTCAAGTTACGGACCCACTTTCGCCCGTCGACTTCCCAGCGCGGTGGCGCCGCCACCACTGCAAACATGGGAAAGCAAAAGCAACAAGTCATTTCCCGCTTCTTTGCACCCAAATCAACTGATTCATCATCTTCTTCTTCTCGCCCGAACCCTCCGACCCCTCCTCCCAAAATCTCAGCTACTGTCAGTTTCTCTCCCGCCAAACGACTCATCGCTTCTCAGCTAGCATCACCGGATAAGCCTTCGAAAGTTCCCAAACTCTCTCCTCATACCCAAAACCCTATACCTCCTCTTCCCGATCCCTCCCTCCACCAAAGATTCCTCCAGAAGTTTCTCGAACCTTCATCTGACCTTTCAGGGGCTTCTCCGGAGATTCCGAAGTTACAGTCGTCTAAACCGCTTAAGTATACCCCCTTGGAGCAGCAAGTGGTGGAACTCAAGAGTAAATACCCAGATGTTCTTTTAATGGTAGAAGTTGGCTATAAGTATCGATTTTTCGGCGAAGACGCTGAAGTTGCGGCCAGGGAGTTGGGGATATATGCTCATATGGATCATAATTTCATGACTGCGAGCATACCAACTTTTCGACTACACGTACATGTGAGAAGGCTGGTGAGTGCGGGGTACAAGGTTGGTGTGGTTAAGCAGACTGAGACTGCAGCCATTAAAGCTCATGGGTCGAATCGATTGGGCCCATTCTGTCGAGGGTTATCGGCATTGTACACAAAGGCAACACTGGAGGCTGCCGAGGATCTGGGTGGAGGGGAAGAAGGACGTGGAGCTGATAGTAATTATCTAATTTGCGTCGTTGAACAGAGCATGTTGGGAGAAAATTCAAAGCAGGGACTTGAAAGTGGTTTTGATGTGAAATTTGGAATTGTTGGGGTGGAAATATCAACCGGGGATGTTGTTTATGGAGAGTTTAATGATAACTGTTTAAGGAGTGCACTTGAGGCTTTAGTGTTGAACCTGGCTCCGGCCGAGTTGCTTCTTGGGGACCCACTTTCTAAACAAACAGAGAAGGTAATCTTTATTTACAAGAATGTTGCGTGGTTGCGTGTCTTGGAAGAAACATTATTTTCCCTCACGTTTCAAGAATTGCAATATTATTTCATTATGACATCAAGAGAGCTCAAGCTTTTAGACCAAGTAATCGTAACTTTGAAGCCCAAGTGGCTTATTGATTTCATGATTGAAAGTTTATCTCTATATCTAAATGATTGTTACTGTTCTATATAATTACCAAAAACTAGTTTATCTCAAATCATGTTGCTCTGACAAAGAGATATTATTACCGTCATTTGATGATAACCCTGGATCATTTACTTGTCTAAGTCTATATAGAAAAATTAAAAGGAATTAATATAAATTCTCTATAATGATGATCACCTGATGTAATTAGATCTTATATTATTAGTTATTACTGGCTTATGCTGGGCCTGGCTCAAGTGTTCGTGTGGAGCATGCTTCACGAGATTGCTTCGCTGATGGAGGTGCTCTTGCTGAAGTTGCATCTTTGTATGAGAACATGGATGTTGACAGTCCATCAGAACCCATGGAAGGGAATGAGTTGAAGGAGCACGAAAATTCTCAGTTGTCAATCAAGGTACGTTATTTCTTCTGCTGGAGTTGGAGAGTTGTAAACTAAATTCAGAATTAGTTGTTTTCTTAAGAATGAAAGCATGTTTTTTTATCATTGACCATGTCATGGGACTTTATTACATTTGCATATTATGTGTTTATGCTGAATACAACTGATTGCCACAGGTGCTGTCTTTCTCTGTTCTGAGCAAATATATTCCTCCCTAAAACTCATTTTTCAATTTCGATGGTACTCTGCATATTAGCTGTACACTACTAAACGTACTAATATTGCCAATTGTATTCATGAGCTCATCTATTTAATCCCTACTTTTTTCTTTTTTCTTTTCTTTTGTTTGTTTTTTTTTTTTAAATTTGTAAAGGAGATCATGGACATGCCTGATTTAGCTGTCCAAGCTTTGGCATTAACCATTCGTCATTTAAAGCAATTTGGTTTTGAAAGAATATTGTGTAGAGGAGCTTCTTTGAGGCCCTTATCAAGCAATATGGAAATGACTCTCTCAGCCAACACACTTCAACAACTAGAGGTATTTATAGATATCGTATTCTATTCTTGAGAGTGTTTAATACTAATGAGGCCTATATTTTTCCCTTCCTTGCTAGGTGTGTCTACTTTCTCTGTTTGTTTCAAAGAGAAATCGACAATTATAAATTGTTATAGAAATGTGATTATTCTATCTGGTTAAATTGCCAAGAATTTTGTCCAAGGATTATCGGGAAGAAGTTTCTTATTACTTGAATGGACTTGACTGTCCATAATTAATGTGGCTTCACCATTTCACTTGCACAAGAATCACCACTAGAAGCTAGTTCGTCAAACATGAACATTCAAATATATGTGCATAGATATGAAAGAAGAAATCTTGTTAGAAAGAAAAAGGAAAAGATAAATGCATTACCTGGCAACAAGAGTATCATCTGATCAACCCAATTTAATAGCATCCCCCTTTGCTTTCTTTGGTTCAAGTTGAAAACCAACTGATTCTACTAGATTTTATATTAAGTATGGCAAGGAAGCATCGTAACTTCCTGCTGGCAACAACTAGTATTCTTTGATAGGAACAACGGGTGCCAAAATTGTGAATGATTGTGTACCATTCTTTTACCTTATAAGATGATTATTTGTTTTCCTCTCACGTGCTTTTTTATAACTGTATGTTTTTTATTTTATAATTTCGAAAATTATTCTAATGTCTTGTTGCATATGCATGTTTTCCCATGTTCTCACTTCTCAGGTTTTAAAAAATAACAGTGATGGATCTGAGACTGGCTCCTTGCTGAAGATTATGAATCATACTCTTACTATATTCGGTTCCAGGAATCTTAGGCACTGGGTATGGAATATATTATTACTGACATATCACCATTTGATGTTAATTCCCAACCAACAAAACAAAAGGAATAAAAATGATATCTTGAATATGTTTGCATGACACAGGTAACTCATCCATTGTGTGATAAAACAATGATTTCTGCTCGTCTTGATGCTGTGTCTGAGATTGCAGAATCCATGGGCTCTTGTCATAGTTTGAAGCATCTAAAATGTGTCGAGGAAGATTCTAATGTAGCAGTAGGGCAACCTGAGTTAGCTTACATACTTTGTTCAGTTTTGACAAATCTGGGTCGGGCACCAGACATACAGCGTGGGATTACAAGAATTTTTCATCAAACTGCTACCCCATCAGAGGTAATGAGCATCTTCTTGTTGACTTGCCATGTGTTCCATATATTTTGATGTTTAATCATTTGTTCTCATCTTCCTGGGCTGTGTGCGTGTGTATGTATTTTTCCATTAAGGGCAAATGAGATTGAAAAGGGAGTCGGCGAGCGTTCTGTTGGTTTTCATATTTTGGTCCATGCTTAATTTATGGACAAATAACACATTAAGAATATGTTAGCACTATTGATATATGGTTTTCAAATGAATATCTTTGGCGGGAATTGCTAAAAAAAGCATAGATTTGAAAATAGTCATTTCTGATTATATCAGCAAATGGGTGGTTGTGGATGTCCCTATTTTAATAGTTTGATGTATTTAAGGCCTGACCATCTGATATATAAATGTTTCTTCATCAAATTTGAAGAATGTCTTAGGAGTGCACTACTCCCCATAGAGAGTAGAAGCTAAGCCATTCTTGTCTCGTCCGTTTAATCTATTGCCTATAGAAACTTAATGTAGAGATCTAAGTAGGACTTCAGAAGAATGTAAGAATGA